AAATAATAAATAATAAATAATAAATAATAAATAATAAATATTAATAAATAAAAATTATTAATAAATAAAAATTATTAATAAATAAAAAGAACAGCTACGCTTTCAGGCTTCGCTAACGCTTTCACTGCTTTTTTGTATTGTTTAAAGTACGAATTAAAACATTAAAAAAAAGCGGTGTTACTCTATTCTTTTGCCCTATACAACTAAAATTAAAATTAAGGCAATTTAACGGAAGGTGCCCCCGAAGGGCCGTGCACCGGCGTCGAATTAGCGGAGCGGCTCCTGATTTTATAACTAATGTTTCTTCCGGTATGCCCTCACCATTTTGGGCACATCCTTAACCAGCTGCTCGCGAGGTTCCCAGGTGTAGGTGCCTCCCAACCATTTGACTTTGTAGCATAATTGCCTTGCCGAGTCTCTTCTCGTCGTGCACGCTCCTCGATTTCCTCCACGATCCACTTGTCAATGTCGTCGTCCTTGCGATACACTCCGGGCTCCATCCTCTCTCTCTCTCTCACGGATCCGAAGCGACGGGCTGGAGATGTTCCACCGAGATCTCCGGGTTCCGTTTGAGCCAGCCCGGCAACTGGATGCGGAACTTGAGGTCGCTAATGACTTCCAGGACTTTGAAAGGGCCGACCTTGGGGAACGACAGCTTGTGCTGGTTATCGAAGTGGTATCCTCTGTCGCCAGGTTTGGCCAGCTTCACATACACGAAGTCGCCTGCCTGAAGCTTGGGAGGCGGGTGCTTGTTGTCGTAGGCCACCTTGGATCTCGCCTCTGCGATGCGCACGGCGTCCCAGGCCTCCGCCCTCACTCTCTTCTGTACCTCGGTAAAGGCCTCTGGTTCCATCATTGGCACAGGCCCCGGCAGCCACAGCTTGGGATCCCGTCCGTATAGCATCTTGAAGGGCTTTTTTTTTGTCGATGCTGAGATGGAGGTGTTCAGCCTGGCCAAGACGTGCGGAACATGATCCTCCCATCCCGATGGATCCAGCTTGCTTCCGATGAGCGTGCAGAGTGCGATGATGAAGGTTTGTATCGTTCTTCCTGCTTGCCCGTTGGCGCTCGGGTGGTGGGCCGCTGTCACCTGCACTGATATCCCTGCCATCTTGGTCCGATATGAAGGTGTCTGGGAAACCCCAATCAGGATAGATCTCCCTGATGTACTTCTTTGCCCATTTCTTGGTGTCCCAGTCCGTGCGACCGTAAATCAGCTTGACGAACTTGGAAGTCTTGTCAACCACGATCAGCCCTGCGTCATGCCCCTGTGAGCTAACAGGCAGGCTGACGATGAAGTCCATGCAGAGCACTCGGAGCGGTTCTTCTGGTGCGAAGATTGGCTGCAGGTCTCCGAAGGGTCGTTGGTTTGTCGGCTTGGCTTGACCGCAATCGGGACAGGCTCGGCAGAAGCGGTCTACCTTTCCCCTCAGGTTGTTGAAGTGCACGAACGGTCGAAGAAATTGATATGTCCGGTGCGCTGCAGGATGAGCTCGCTTGGAGTGTGCCATCGTCAGCACCTCCCTGACCAGCGATCCCGGGGCTAATCATCGCCTTCTCCGACGAGCTGGAGTCCGAGGTTTCCGGCCCGTCGATGCACGTCGCCTAGGCCCCGACCTCCGTCATTCGCGTAGACTTTGACAACAGATCAGGCATCTCTCTGCACGTCGCCGCACCTGCGTCACCAGGCTGCGTCGCCCGTCTCGATAGGGCGTCTCAAGGAGTCCTCATGATAGAGGTGCTCCCGGCCTTTGCCCTCACAAACTAGACCCTGGAGGCCGAGCACTGGAAGGCGCGCGCCAACCTCACCGACGCCAGCGCCATCGCCCCCAAGTACAACACGACCCATGAGCTCCTGATGCTGGCCCCCTGGGCCGCCATCCCGGCCCGCGTGAACGCCTCCGGCCTCGGTTATTGGACTCCGCACTTTTCGTGGTCCCCCCGACTCCCCCGCCGCGGGCGCGTACCTCTCTCCCGGGCCCCATCCCCAACACGGCACCTCAACGGGGTTAAGACACCACCCCTGGTGCCTGCGAGGGACTTGTGACTGCTGGAAGCGACCCGACCCCAGGGCGCCTCGCTATTTCGGCCTCCTCACAGGCCTCTTGGGTGACCAGTCGGCCTGACATGTGTCCGAGTGATCAATCCCCGTGTGACAGGTGAGGATGATAGGTATCCAGTCGGCAGAGAGAGGGGCCAGGAAAAGCGCCGGGGGTTGGAGTCATACATCACCGGATTTGCAGTGTTTTTTGGGTTCACGGCACAGGATTTGTGATCACCAACTGCTAAGCGCCTGTAACAGGTTTTACCGGAGCACGATCCTAATGCGCTGCGCGGAAGAGCAAGGCGGTAATCATGCGGATTCTTGATATGTACCTACCTAGGACTTGGCAAATCGCAAACACAAAGGATCCAGGCTCGGTGATCTTGCCTTGTGTGTGCATGGATGGATTTTCACGGTGCGCATAGGGCTTCGGGTGCGACCATCGCCATGAAGAGGAGGGCCGGGTACCCTACCAAAGCTCGGTGTGTGTTGGCGCCTGTTGAGATGGGGCCAAATGTGTCATCACGTTGTGATGAATCCGAAGGGCCGCAGCTCTTGATGCTAGGGAACCCTGCGCCGGCCCCGCATACCATCAGCTTAAAATCTCCCTGGGGCACCCATCTCCCTGCATCACCAGGGGAGATGGGTGAGCTCCATTGATATCGTCCCCCACTGAACCTCCACCAAGCAGCCAATGCACGTCTACTGAATACACCTACGCAAACGCCATCCTCCCCTCTTACGGATAAACGATCCAGCCACGATGGCCACCATAGGTCAGATGTACGACTTCGATACCGAGATCGCCACATTTTTCTCTCAGACCTCTGTGAGCCGCGAGGAGTGTGACCAAGTCGCAAAGGATCTCGTTGGTCACAGCCAAGTCGTCCCAGTGCCAATACAGGGCGTCTGCTCGTATACGGTCTACGCTGGAGAGCAGCTTGAATTCGTTGTCCAGTTCCGCCTGAAGTCCCTCCAGCTCAAGCTTGAAACAGTCACTCTCGCACGCCAGATCTATGGTGAGCTCGTACCGGAGGTGTCCTTCAGGACGCAGCTGGGCGAGGACGCGGCAACAGCCGGCCAGGAGCCTCTCCTGGTGTACGTCATGACCCGAATCCTCGGGCCCAGCCGCCTCGACTTCATAATCGCCGACAAGTTCCCCGATAACTCGCCGGAGAACAAGGCTCGCCGGAGGAACTTGGTGAAGGATGTTGCAAGGTTCAGGAGCCCCCCGCCTCCCTCTTTGAGGTGAAGATCGCAACTAACCAGCCCGTACACCTGCTAGGTTCTTCGCCACTGCATGGAAAGCGCCGCAGCATGTCGAGCCAGCATACCATGATCACATGGCCGAGACGTTCAACAAGGACCTGCAGAGTTTGCTCGTCGCCCTTCCCACTCGCTTTCACCCAATCATCCGCGCCACGATAAAATCTTTGCCGAAGATTCTCAATCTCCCCATGGTGCTGACACATGGAGACTTCTTCGAGTCAAACATCATCGTCGACGAGTCCTCTTACCACCTGGCCGGTGTCATTGATTGGGCAGAGGCGGAAATCACTCCCTTCGGTGTGAACCTCGTGTCTCCGCAGTTGTTGATGAGCAAGCTGCACTTGAGGGATGGGTATATCAGATACGATGACTACGATGAGTTGACTGGCCTGTTCTGGAGCACCTTCACCAGTGAGGCGGGCGGGCTGAGCGTGGACACCATCAAGACCATCAAAGCGGCAAGAGTCCTCGGTGTGCTGCGCTCCAAGGGATTCACCGCAAGGCTCAGGAATATGGCTACGCCGGTCCCGATCGGGGACGACGCGATTGGGAGGTATAACATGATGCAACTGGATGGACTGTTGCTCAATCCTGCCACGCGTTTCGAGGACATGGATGAATATTTGGCTTAGGAAAATAGCGGCTGATATCGGACTTGACACTAGCTGAGCGCCTGGGCTTGCCCGATGATGGCGAAACCTCAAAGTCTGCATTGCGGCCTTATTATAATAGACAAGCCTTGTATGTAATTGGTGGAAAGCGGCTGGCCGCAAGGTTAAGGCTTCATGCATAACGTGTTGGCCGCACGTCGTATATGTTCCGGTGGATCCCTTATGCAAGGTTCCTAAGCGGGCGGCCGTGTGCGGGCCTCCTGGGTCTTACAGGCACGGGCCTTAGCCACCGTGGCTCAGCGACTCCCCAGGCGCCACGCGCTATCGCCGAGGATTTCCGATTTTCTCCAACGGCCTTACCATTCACTTTCAGCGTTTCTTCCTGCCAAACGACCAGCAAACAACGATGTTCCGCCCTGCATCTGATGATACTGCGGCAATCCCATCCTTACTTTCCGTATCGGCGTCGCAGCCGAAGGTCGATTTCGTCCACCCCGGCTACGACGGCGACTTCATTTCTGCGGCCTTCCTTTCGCTCCCCCCCCTCGATGACGGCGGCGTTTGCTTCGATACGGCCATTGCGGCCTGCGGTCTTATAGCCTGCAATCAATGGACCGGCTATCTTTCTACCGACAAGGCCGGCCAGAATCGCGTCGCCCGGCCGGCGGATGGCATCTTGCGCAACCACCCATATTACTATTTCCACGTCCCTGTAACCGGGTCTCTCCCATACCCCGTCATCCCCCGTTTTTCAGACTGGGCATTTCCGCATGGCAACCTCCCCGCGCCCTGGGCCCGCTTGCAGCTGCAAACAAACCCAAATATCCAGGGTCAATGCATCGCGACCAAATACAGCCACGGCGTTGACAGCGCGCATTGCGTCCCTTCAAGCGAAAGCGAATGGTGGGATTTCAACTACATGGGCCGCTACAGCTCTTCATCTGCTGTCAATTTTTCTACCCAGCCTCAGGATAGTCCTGCCAATCTGATACCTCTCCGTGCGGACTTTCATCGCGTGTTCGACGGGCGCCACCTTTGTTTCGTCCCCAAAGAGGTTAAAACTGCCGATTCCGCCGCAATACAAACCTGCCTTTACATTCATGTGTTTGTTCCCTCCTACAACGGCCAAGTTGCAGGTCTCTGGCACAACCGCGCTCTGCACCCTTTGCCCCCGGGCCTTTCCAAAGAATGCCTTTTTGCCCGCTTCGCTTATACGGTCCTTAGCCCTGCTGTTTTTGCCTCTTCAGTATTTCTGGGAGGCAGCCGTGTAGCCCGTCATCTCTGCACCCGCGACCCCAAAACCCAAACCCCAACCGCAAAAATGGAAAGTCCCGATAGCTGCCGCAGGATCTTGCGCACTGCTCGGTCCAGAAGCCCGAGAAAGCGGAGTGCGCCTCCCGGAAACGACGATGATGCAGGCGGTTGCAGTGAGGGCGACAGCGACAGCGGGTATTTCAGCCGAAAAGCTACACTATCCGGTACCTATGGTTTACCGTTTCAATTGCTTGAGGAGGAGGAGGAGGAGCGAGGGCGTAGCCGGAAGCGAGCTCGTGTGATAGGGGGAGAATAAGGGGGTGGACAGTTGTATGGTAAAAACCTCCCGCGTTGTCAATTTCTTGAGACTTCCTTAAGCCATGTTACTCCGACATTAGCCACGCCCGCCACTCCCAGGCGAACCCGAAAGTGAGGCAAACAAGGCAGCCTCGCAGACTGGGGGCGTGGGAGGCTGCGGAGAGAGATGTTTCCATTTCGTTAAATCACAACCAGCCAGCTGACCACCACACCGACGTTACGCACGAAACATACCCGCCGGTGGCCGGCCACGGCGACGGTCCTTCTGCTTGGCTTTCCCGTTCTGCATTCCCTATTTACCTGCTGCACGGAACCGTGACTGCAACCGATGCTAGGAGATTTAGTTAGGCGGGCGGGCGGAATGCCAGTAAGTTGCTCAGGACATGCTATTTAGAATCTTGTGAATCTGGCCACACCCGCGACGCCTGCGCTGGAGCCGGCAGGATAAAGGGAGGGCGGGCGGGGACAAGCAGCTCTACTCAAAATCTCAGCTGCGACACCATGACGCCGACTAACGCCAAGCCGGGGCTGCTGCTTGTATGTTGCGGTTCTGGTCCCCGCATGCCGTTTGGCTCTACCATGGTTGTAGAGCGTCGTTGGACCCTGGTAGACAGTAAGCAAACGCTTCATGCATTTACTTGACGAAAGCGCCGGGGATTTCGATCGGATAGGGCGCAGAAATGATGTTGGATGCAGGCAACGCCGCTACCATCCAAGCCCGTGGCGCGCATGCACCTCATAAGGGTCTGCACACCGACGCGCATGAACTGGCAGCATCGACATGTGAATTTGACGGGGCAGTTTGGGGGCCGGGTGATTTATCCACGATGAAGTCCGAGGAATAAATGTGATGCGAAAAACCTTGAGTCAATTCTGGAGTCCGATGGTTCATGAAAAGTCCGAGATCGTTACCGAGACCCGAAATTGCTAAGTCCTAACTACTAGTATCGAGACGTTCACCAGCGGTCAGAATAATGTAGCCATCCATATGGGGCTCATGCCTTTCACTGAGGGTGGCTCGCGTTTAGCTCGCAATTAGCTCGCATTCAGCTCGCATTTAGCGCGCATCCGTTGGCCATGTGTCCAGCCGCAGGTCAATATTACCAGAAACTTATATCCATATTGGGGAAACCCGCCCGCGGGACGAGCATGGCGTTGTGGAAAAGAGAAACGTCGTGCTGTCGAGCGGCGCATGGCATGCGCCGCATGGAGGCCACGCATGGGGGCCAAAAGAAAGAGGGAGCATCGCGGGCAACGGAGTGGTCAACTCAAGCAGTGGTGATGCCCTCGCTTGTTGTGAGGGGGTGGAATGCTTACGTTACCCCGTAACTATCATGACAGGCAGCTGGCGTCGAGTCTGCGAGATTGGTACGACGACACAACGGGGTCCTGCGAGGCGATCCCGCCGACGCGTTGATGCCTCTTGTCATCACAATGAGGAGGTCGGAGACTGTAGACAGGTCGTCAAAAAGCAGTATAAAGCCAGGTGTGTGCTCCCCCCCAAGACTGTTCTGTTCGCCTCCATCACCACCGCCACCTCCTCACTTCTCCCATTCGGCAGCATTGAACCAGCTAATCACCACCACCGCCTCGCCAACATGCACTTCTCGGCGGCACTCCTGAGCCTCGCGACCACCGCGCTGGCCATCGACATCAGGGGTCATGCCAATAGCAACTGCGGGGGTGGCTTCAGGGCCTGCACAAACATTAATCCCAACGTGTGCTGCGTGTTCAGCACCTCCGCAAGCAGCGGACTTCTAAGCGTGTCCATTGCGGCCGTACGTGGAAAATCTCCTCTCTTTTTTCTTCTCCCTCCATCTTGCTTGGGAAACCCCCTCGAATTACTAACGGTGTCTCAAAAAAAAAAAACAGATCCCGACCAGCTGGCGCATCACCGGCGAGGCCTACACCGGCGGCGGCTGCAGCTTCCTCGGGGGGCAGTGGGACTCGAACGGCACCCCGGACATTTGCATGCCCTTCTCGTCGCGTGGCGACCGCACGGGGGGCCGGTACTGGTTCCGGAGCCGCAAGCGCGCCGACGACCGGTCGTGCCCCGCCGAGCAGGCCGGTGTCGGCAAGTGTGAGGCTGCTGCCAAGCCCGACACGCTCGTGCTCGCCGACGGCACCAAGTACAGCATCTCCGGTCTGGCGGATGACAAGGTTGAGGAGATGGTGAGTCTTTTGCCGTACACCCCGGAGGGAAAGTAGGTTAGATGCTGACTTGCTTCCCCGGCTTGAAGAGCAAGATTGCCGACTCCGGTGCCGGTGCCGACGCGATGCCGGCCGAGTTCCAGGTCCTCCGCCGCGATGTCAAGGCCTGAGGCTCTGCAAAAGCTCCCTCGGGACCTAGATCACCGCCTTCGCAACCCCCTAGCTCGTGGAGGGTCTTGTCGGGTCTGGGGGGTCCGGATTGTAGCCAGCTTTCATGGGGTTAAGAGGCGAATAGCGCGGGTGAGGAAACTTGGAAGTTGCGGCATTCTGCTCTGTGTGCGGCTGGACGTTATTACCTTGGTCCCATAGGAAAACCCTGCAGCCAAAGAAAAAAGACACAAGAAGTAAATGCCACTAAAAACTGGCGGAGAACGCCCCATGGATATACTTTGCCCAAGTATGACAGTGGGCAGAACCCTATTGCCCGCGAATCATCTGAGGTCCCAAAGATTGACTGAAATTGTTTGTGCCGTGAGCTTTCCTTATTCTTGTTCTTTTTTGTTATTATTCCTGTTTTTATTTGTATTTTTCCTTTCCTTCTTATCTTTGGCTCCGTTCCCATTCCTATTCCTATTCCTATTCTGCGAATGAACTGCTGTGGTGGGCGTGGACTTCTACTGGAACCGAACCGCTTCTTCATGCGCCCGTGCGAGACGGAAAAGTCCACGGTGGCCCTCTTGTTTGCAGCGGTGCTCGTGGATCTAGGTCTGGTAGCTAACTACAAGGTCGTGTGTTGAAGCGTTACCCTTATCATCGACGATGCCGAAGGATTCCTCCCGGGCGACTCGGTGACGGGCGGAGGCTCCCCCGACTCGTACCGCGCCGGCACCATCGACACCCCGACCACCATTCCGATGGCGCCAACGACGCCTCTCCAGCCCCCTACCAACGTCTGCCCCCAGCTCTCGCCTCACTGGCCCCGCCGAGGGCGTCCTTGACCTTGGAACCCTCGTCAAGCCTGTCCACCTTACCCACCCTTCCAGCTCGCCTCTTTCCCAGCTCCCCGACGACGCGCACGACTTGTTTTCGAGCATCGAGCGGGTGGCCGAATCGCGCGTGGCTTTTATACCCGACGACTCCCGCGAAGCCCTCGTGAAGGTGGTGCCACCAAGTCTTGGATGGCCGGACACGTGGTTCACCCCGCCCGGAGAGGAGGGAAGCGGCACATGAGGAGTTCCGGCCGTGGACCATCGGCCATCTAGGTGAACCCGTCGGCGATTTGGCATTGTGCCAGCTCAGCAACTTTTCCTGAATCCAGAAAACGGCGTTGGAGTGTGGCAGGAATGGAGCCAACAACGGCGCTGTAGCCGGCCTGCTTTGCGATAACGAGAGTTGTATTTAATCGTGGTACCAGCCCCTGAACAAACCGTGAGAACCGTCGACAGAAAGAAAATATTATGAGCTGGACCAAACAAAAGCCAATTAAATGCAAAACAGTGGTAAAAGGAAAACCTCGAAATTCCAAACAGCGACCCGAGAAAACAAAACGACTTGGAAAAGAACGACAAGTGTTGAAAAAAAAGCACATAAGCTTTCCACAAGGAAATACGAAACCCTAGCAGATAAAAGCAACAAAGGTAGGAAAGAAGCAAGGCTGTAGGTGGTGAGGGAAGGAGGCGCTGGGTTAAATGACACCAGCCTTGAGGTCGTCCACGTTCTTCAGCTTGGGGAAAGGCTTGGTACCGGTAAAGACCTTGTTGTTCCCGTTGACCGTAGCCGAATGCGATTCGCCGCCATTGCAGGCGCGCAGGCCTTTATGGCTAGCCTGGAAGGTCCAACCCGTAATGCAACTTACGGTGGTGTTCTTGACGATAGAGTCGAGCATGATGGTACCGTTATCGAGGATCAACAAGGCTGTTGTCGCCAAGTTATTGAGTTGATCCTCGATAACGGCACCGTCATGCTCGACTCCTCTATCATTAAAAATACCACCGTAAGTCGCATCACGGGTTGGACCTTCCAGGCTAGCCATAAAGGCCCGCGCGCCTGCAATGGCGGCGAGGTATTAAGAAAGTTCGTGAAGAAAGTTCTTCCCGATGCCGGTCAGGTCGGGCAGGGGCCCATGCTGGAACTCATACGCGCGGTAGCCGCTCTCCGTGAGGACGAAGATATGGCCGTGTAGCGACGACGCGTCGAGTGTGGCGATGTCCGTGATCTTCGCCCAACGCATGGCCGGGTCCTCGAAGTTTGTTCCCACCATCACTGATCCCTCGGGGATCTGGAAGTGGCCATGGATGAGGTGGATGCCGAAGGCTTTTTCGGCATTTTGGTGAGCGAATAGAGCCGCTAGGTTCCTAATGTGCTCGTCGGCAACCTCGGGTTAGTCCCCATCGTCCTTGAGGCTGTTGTAGCTGTATGGTAAAGCAAGGTCAGTCAACTGAGGTCTTAATTCCTAGCCTGACCGCGTAGGTACTATATTGACTTACAGCGTGCGGCTCGCTTGGAAGTCCAGATTGTTCAAAGCCTGGTCAAGTGTGGGGAGAGTGGGGAACTGGGCCACAAGAGCTGCCATTGTGCGCGGTAGGTTTGGCTGACGGGGTACGGGATCGATGTGAATATAAGGGTAGACTTTAGTAGTCAGTTGCTTCGTAGATGTGAGTGTTGTAATGCAGAGGATTGTGGTGTAGAGGGCTGTGGTGTGATCTGGACTGGATGAGGAGTGAAGGAAGAGAGCGGTCTTTTATAGATACACGAATCTGGCCCCCTTTGCCTCTCGAGGATCTGGTGGGCAAAGTGAGCCGCCAATGGTCGAGGGCGCATGACCACTTCCATCACCGTCGGGGTGGTATGTCACTATAATCACGATGTTGCTGTACCGGCCAACATCTGGAACGCAAGCTCGACAAACCAACATGTCCCACGAGCCGGTCAGCAAGGTCAGGCTACTCCAGACCGAGCAGCCCAAGACGGGCATGACTGATAGTGGATGGGGTTATCTGCTCTAATTGCAGGGAAGCGTACCAGATCTACGGCCCTATGTGTGGTAACCGCTATGCGGCGGCTCAAGAGCAGGGCCTCAAGCGTGGCTACATTTCTACCTATCCAGGCCCTGCCCTTTCCAACGGCCAACGCCTGGCGCTCTTGTGTAACTTGTGAATCCACAGGAACACAGCCCCCTCCGTTTGTGTTCGAACCGCCCGTCGGTCGCTTGCGGTCAAACGATGCGCGCTTACGCCCTCCCGGTCCTTTCTGATATTCCGGTCAACTTACAGTACCCAAAATCGCGAGGCGTAATATTTGGACTTCTTGCACGGGCCCGTCGCGCGCGTTCGGCCACGTGCCATGACGCTGTGCTTCAGGGCTGGTTCTGAGGAGGGCTCCAGGGGCTACTTTGTTGGGGCCAGGCGTATTGAGGTTGTGGGTTTGCCTATGTCTCTATACGGAAGTCCAAACCTGCGGCTGAGTTAAAGCAATCGGGATAGAGTCGGAAACCTGTATCGGGCTCCATGTTGTCTGGTATCGAGTCTTCCAATCGCCAGTAGCACAGGTGCAGTCCGGGCAGGCACCTGCAGCGGCGGCCCGCACTTTCCAACACTGCTGATGGGGCACCAGGAGTCTGGTATGTGGGGCTCAGTGTCAACCAACACCGCTACTCAACGTCAATCGTGGGCCAAGAACGCCTGGCGTCATTGATGGGCCTCAATTCATGCATGGTCTCCCTCAACTGAGCCTCAATCGAGCAGGAGAATCTCGGCTTGGGCAAATTTCCGATTGCCGGCGGCTCTTGATGAACAGGACGTATCAATGGAAGATTCGACGCAAATCCCGGCCGGCACGCCGCATGCAAACGATGGTGACGGCCCGGTTCCAACCCTCATGGTCATTGCTGCCCAGGGAGACCTCTGTCTCCGCGTCACGTTCATCTCATCTCCCAAGACCCTGAAGCCCCCCAAAAAGGAAGCCCGCCCGCGCCCCAGCCTGCCCAGGACGTCCGCCGGCGCAGGCAGCCCAGCGGGGCCACAGGCACAGCCGCCGCCGCCGCCGCCGCCACCGCCGCTCACCCCACTCCAGTCGCCGCGCGAGACGCATTGGTACCGCGTCGAGCTGGCCGCGCTGACGCGGCAGTCCGAGTACTTCCGCGTCCTGCTGGGCGCCGACTCGCGCTTCGGCGAGGCTCGCGCCGTGGCGGCCGTCCTGGAAGCCCTGGACCTCGACGGCGTGGACCCGCGCGACGTCGAGGACGCGGCGCGGCTGCCGGCCGTCGACGTCACCGACGACGACGAGGCGACGAGGTCGCCGCTGCGCCACCACGCCCTCGCGGACCTGCTGCGCATCCTGCACGGCGCCCCGCCCGCGGTCCGCCACCCGGCCGTGCTGACCATGCGCCACGTCGCGGCGCTCGCGGTGCTGGCGGACCGCTTCGGCTGCGCCCAGCCCGTCTCGCGCAGCCTGTCGGCCGAGCTGCGGTTCAAGTGGCCCGCCACGAGGCTGAAGGCCGCCGCCGACGGTAGTGGGGACGTGAGCGGCGGCGTCGGTGGCCCCCGGCTGGATAGCGAGGAGGTGCTGCGCCAGAGGGTGCTGGTCGCGTGGCTGCTGGACCAGCCGCTCAAGCTGCACGCATCCACGCGCGACTTGACCATCCACGGCTCGAGGCGGTGGACGCAGGTCGCGGACCAGGACGAGGCCGAGGGCCGTGTGGGTGACCTGGCATCCTGGTGGGATTTGCAAGACGACCTTGAGGGTAAGCAGGTCGTCATCTCCTTGTCTTCTGTGCTTTCCCGCTGCCCTCTATCTGTCCCGATATTTTACGTGAAGTGAAGTTGACGCTGGATGTTTACTTTCTCTTTGAACCGAAGTTGAGCTTCGGTATCGTCGGGAATGCATCCTCAACACCATCGCCTCGGTCCAGCATCACTTCATTTCCCTCTACTCATCCCGCACCCAAATGTGTAAGCTGGGCTACGACTCGAGTTCCGCCTGCGATTCGTTCCAGCTAGGACAGATGATCAAGTTCTTGTCTAGCAAAAAGCTCTTATTCCTGGTCGACTTCTCGTCGACGTCGTTTGAGCGAGTGGCAGAGTTTGGGACCACTGATATCAACCACATCATTTCGCTTCTTTCACAAGTGCCAAGCTATCAGGTTGACCGCCATCACACCAACGTGAGTATCCCGTACTATCCCTACTACCACCCGCCGCACCTAGTGCTGCCGTCCCGATGGAAGACTCATATGCCCGTTTGCGACAGTGCGGTCTGAGAACCAAGATCTTGCCCATCTTGGAGTACATAAAAGCCATGATTTCCTCCAATGTGCTGTCCATACCCAGGCGTGAATGGAAGAATGCCCGTGCGACACAGTCGTGGATGCAATCCGGAGACGACGAGAAGCAGGAGAGGCAGCCGTTCCGCTTCGGGAGGTCCGCCGCCAGCGACGACCGTCTTCGGTACGAGGGTGCCATGGCCACCGACAGGATGGCGCGGCAACTCTTTACGGCCAAGAGCTGGGACTGGTCGCCCGAGGACCGGATCCAGCCCTAGGCTTTTTGGGTGTACCTACTTATAGGCACACTCGCCGACTAGACTCGCATACACCCCACCCATTCTCCAGAGACGCACCCAGCATCACGCTCGTGCGCCGTAGTGAAATAAACTACCCGGGCAGTTGCCTGCCGCCATGGGCCGTTTGGAGCATCGACAGCGAGCGCATACATCACTCAATGATGAAGATAGGGAGAGCAGGTGCCATGATTTAATTCGTCTAGAACAAAGCAGGCAAGCTTGACCTCGGGCTTTCGTATAGAGGAGCTTCTAGATATGAACGGTATCAGCTGCCGTCCCAGAATTGTTCTTATTGCCACTTGGCCACTGGTCGAGGCAGACGGCAGGCACCTAGAGGTAAATGGTAGGTAGTCGTGCGCCACAAGCAGCCCTCATCCACGATACAACACAGCCACCAGCTCATCGCTGTCCACCGGAGCCGCGGAGCCACAAGGCAGCACAGCCCCGCCCCTAGCTTCGTCTACCTCCCCTCCGTCACCTGAGTTCCGGCCGCGACCGGGCAGTCAACCGCGCCTCCCATGCAGCCGCAACAGAGCCGGCTCCCTTGGGAGAAGCAGCAGCCCGGGCCGCCGCACATCCATTCCTTGGCCGGGTACCATCTGTGATCCATGTTGCAGACCTCGATCCAGCTGCTCGTATCGTTCCCACCGCAGCGGAATGTCCCCGCCTTACACCTCTCCCCGGCCTTGAGGCCGCGGGTCGGAGAGCTGACGGCCGTGCCTGTGGATGTGGCGGCCGTGGGGGCGGTGGCGTTGCCCATGGAGGTGGCAGATGTGGTCGTGGAGGCGGCAACCGTGGCCGCGGAGACGAGGAGGGTCGCCGTGAGGGCGAGAAATTGCATTATGGCGTCAATGGGTCGACCGAGTCGCTTCTTGTAGGGTGTCTGCTTGATTTTGGATGTGATCTAGGTGTTTGGGGGAGCAGGTTCTGACAGGCCTTGGCCTTGTATGAAGCGGCTGTACTTATAGGTATGTTCCATTTAGGCATTGCTTGTGACGCCTGACTGTAGCGACCAACCCATTGAACACTAGCATTGAGAATCCGCCAGCGTTACGCGAAGCAAGCAGTCTGAAGATATGGTACATTCCAGGAGATATCGTCACCATTCATTCCACTAGGAGAGATTCAGGGAACGTTTGCGCATGCAACGGCATTCAAATGGAAGCAATTTTTCACATGGGAGTGAATATGTATTGAAGTCAGAGCGGCCTATGTCATTCCCAGTCATCGCGTTCCCCCTACTACCATCTCGACCTTCCTGTATACGTCTCATCTTGCCTGTGACTCCGGCTTACCCACTGCAAGTTCCAACAGAGCTCGCATCAGTCTCGGCCGCGGCTTTGACGGAGTGCCCTCTCAGCAACGACACCAGGCCCTGTTGCCGTCCGTGCTCTCGGAGCAGCACCCGTGGGCGAGGCCGCACTTGGCGCTCGTGGCCCACTGACCATTGGCGGCGCAGACCTGGATGATGTCGAAGGAGTCGAAGTCGATCCAGCAGCGGTACGTGCCGGGCGTGTTGCACGGGCCGTCGTCGCGCTGCCTGGCCTCGAGCTCGTGGGCGGCAGGGGCGGTGCCGGGGATAGTGGCGGCGAGGACCGCGGACGAGGCGAAGATGGTGGTGAGGGCGGAGAAGCGCATGGTTGCGGTTGTGGGTTGGGTCTTGGTTGGGCCCTGGGGTGTATGTCCGTCTAGACGCCGATGGGGAGGTAGTCGTTAGTGGTAGCCCAGATCGTGAATATCAATGGCCTCGTACCCACAAGGAGCTGGCGACTCTTCTGAACGGGGGCTCGGCGCTGGTCTTGGGTTTTTGCTCCAGTAGTAGCTGCTCGCGGAGATCAAGTGATGGTCTTAGGTGTCAACTTCCCTTGCTCAGGTGGTCCAGACAGGAGGGCATGTGCCTTTTTATGTCTATGGAATGCGCCTTGTTAGATCGAGTGAACGTACCAAGTCGACGGAATCACTTTGTCAAGTCGATGGACAGAATGTGCCAAGGTAATGAATGGGATGGGCGATCAATGCGATTATGCCTTCCTAAATAGATGGAATATAGCAGGGAGGACTCTTGGCAGCGAGTGATTGTGCCTTTGGCACAAAGGACCGCCAATCACCAGCACTACATTGTGTGCTCGTAGAGGTGAATAGGCTATCACTACCACGTCACCTGCAGATTCACTATATCCACGACCGAGTCTCGCCCATGCAATGGGCCAGCACAGCCTTATTCACTGGCAGAGGTGAGCAGGTTATCACTGCTGCGTCACCTTTAGGCTCACTATACCCAGCTCCAATATCACATCATCGGTCGAGTCTCGCCCTTGCAATCTTGGCATGATGGGCTGTCAGTCCAGACGCAGTCGGATCTATCGACAGCACCCCTTGCTTGCCTTCCACCAGAGCGACCTAATCGTCTACTACACACCTCTTAATCTCATCCTAGGAGCCATCCACTGGGCCATGCGGACCAAACTTCCTCCCTATAGACGACTCAGACACGGTGTGTTGGTAGGATGTGATACCTCTGGTCGAAGGCTCGGAGAATGCATGCAAGCTGGTTCACGACGATCGCCACTAGTAGGGAGAGATAATCGTTGGTTTGCACATGAGAGAGGTAACTGACCCGCAAAACCTCCCTTGCTTGTTGTTGTAACCCTACGAGACGGATCTACAGACCTTGATTCGTAAGTTTGCCACGTACCTGTTGTCGCAGCGACTTTTGATGGTGTCTTCACTACAGGCTGAAGAAGGCGAACTTGGAAGTATCGGATAATACAACGTTTTTATTGGCCTCTTCTTGCTGGCAAACGTGGGATCTGCGGCCCTCAAGGGGGTTACCCAGCGACCCCGTGATGGCTGGGCGCTGTGAGGCCGCAGTCACGTGCTCTCCTTCCAGCCTCCCGGTCTCCTGTTAGCCGCGCGCACACCGCCCGGATCTAACAGAAGAGATGATGTTGCTGCAAAGCAAGGAGACACCATGAAGGTGCGAAGCCGTTCTAGTGAGACAAAACGTTTGAGGTTTCATCAATAATTAAGCTTAATTCCCCTAGCTGTCGATCCTCCTCCAACCCCTCCATAAAATCATTCTCCCCCAAATCGCCGCCAAACAATTGAGGCATCTCCGCCCTCTCCCTCCTCCCCATCGGCCTGACGGGCTGCCGGAAGCGCGGCGATAGTCCCGCTTGGTGGCTTTGTATCCAACCCGGGCGCATGATCGGCAACCTGCAGCTCGCCGATCGCGCCTGGAAAAAAAAAAAAAAGTCCGTGATCGGCCTTCGTGGCTGATGTAAGAGACCGGTGACCCCGATAGCGAAGGCCGGCCAGAAGCCAAGGGATGCACCGTCCTCCCCCCACGCTGCAAGGTCCGTTATAGTCGCAAAGTCCAAGGGCTCCAAACTACGTGGTGAGTGCGAAATCCCTAGCTCGCCGGGCTACGGCGGTGCTAGAGAAGCACGGCTCCTGCATTTGAACACAGTTGCACATGAGCGGCGCTAGCGGCTTGGTCTTTTTGTCAGTCAATAGCCCTTCTTGTTCTAGCCGCCCCCCCTAAACCTTTCCGCGCGCAGGCTGGTCATGCGGTAAGGGCCGGCGACCTTTATCCGTCCACGACATTTAGCTTTCACGACCTTCGGCGACCTTTAGGAAGCCAGACGTGCAGAAGCGGCGGTTTTCGTGAGACCAAAATGCCGCCTGGCATCCCGCACCAACTATCGGGTCTTGGTCCTCTGCAAAGGGTGAACAGCGGGACCAGTCATCAAGCCCCAGTTTATATATACCACCCTTTCCAGAGGCACGCTATCGTCGCCTGGTGCCTTCTACTACGACGTTAGCGTCGTCATCTAGAAGGTAGCGCGCCTAGCGCGCCAGGTCTCTTTCACACGGACGGGATTTTGGTTGGGGGTTTCCACGGCAAATCCCGCCTTGTCTCTCCTTCGCCTTGGCAACTTTTTTAATCTGATAGACCAAAGGGGAGAGAGAGAGAGAGAGAGAGAGAGAGAGAGAGAGAGAGAGAGAGAGAGAGAGAGAGAGAGAGAGAGAGAGATAAAGGTGGGATGGTCAAGGGGGCCGCTTACGGGCCTCGCAAAAGGAAAACTTGGCCGGGTTGCACTGCTTGACGATCCGCCGGCAGTGGCCGCCGGCGACGCTCAGGTCGCTGCAGGTGATGTCTTTTCAAGGGGCGTTGTTGATATGTAGCCCCCATATTAGCCATGTTCCGTCCCCCAACGCCAAAGTTGAAGCAGACAGAAGAAGCTCACGGTCAATACACCAAGGAACGTCCGGGACCAGATCCCCGGCGTAGACCAGCCCGCCGCGGCGCACGGCGCCTATGCGCGGCTTGGAGCAGGCCCGCCCGCCCGCCACGGAGCGGCAGAAGCAGCCCGAGCAGTAGCGCGTGTGCAGCAGCACGCCGTTGACCTTGAGCCGCCCGTTGAAGGCCTTGGTGCAGTTCGGACACTTGACGCACTTGGCCGGCTTTTTGCTGCACGAGATGCCGAACATGGCCCTCTCTCTCCGGTTTCTCTTTGCTGCCTTGTTGTCAAGGGCACTGGTGTAATTTCCCGCACATGCTCTTTTGTGTATCCCCTACCTTTCGCTCCTCTGTTGTCCTTCCTCTTTCTCTCCTTCACTCTGATATCCTCGTCTTCAGAGTGGGATCCTATGTGCCGAAAGTGGTGGAGACGGCAAGCTGACGGCGGTTCGAGTGCAGCGGTCGTAACGGCAAAGGTAGATACGGTGGTGAGAAGGCTTGCTTGCTTGCCCCGTAAACTAGATTACCTCGAGGACTAAACGGGCGAGAAACATCCTGCCCGTGGTTATAACAACCCGGTCGAATATCCACCGCAAGCCAGGACGACGCCAGGGTTCGCCCTGCCGCCCAGGCGCATGTTTCCAGCCACCCAAGTGCCTAAGCGGGCTGTGCCGTCTGCAACACCGGGCCCAGTCATGCGCCCCGAGAGCACACATGCATCGCCCATGTTTGACTGTCCTGTGTAGCCCCATCGCTGTCAGTCACGGTCTGAGGGGCGGGGACGTCGGCGAGATGGAAACGTCAAGGCAGCTGGGTCGCATCATGGGCCGCCTCATTAAAAGGCCCAGATTATCAGGTTACCGACCTCATCTCCTGGATGTAGAAAAAAAGACCAGACAGGGGAGAGTGACGAGCACAGCATCGGAGAAAAGGATATGCGGCTCTGTGCGACGCTCCATCTCCTCAATGCGGCCGCTGACGCTGGCGCTGGGGTGTGACAAAGCTGGTCTGCGCTGGGCGAGCTTCGTGTTGTCCCTCCCTGGATATCTACCTACTGTACCTATAGCACCCGCCGGCGATCGAGCCACATGGCCAAGAGCACAGTCACCCAACGGCCTTCAGAGGCGCTCATCGAAACGCCCCGTTCCCAGTCTCGACGTGCGATATATCCCACCTCCTTTCCTAGGCCACAGAACAGCGGGAAGCCTCGGCCTTTCGAAGGCCGCCTTCCTGTGATTTGCCGACCCTCCCTCAGCTCCCCTTGATCGGGTGCCTGCCTGCCTGCTTTGCCTGCCATCCAAGGAAGAACAACAGCCTGCCAGATAAGTCAGGCGCCGGCGGGACAAGGCATGGGACCTGCGTCCCCCCCTGTGGCGGCTGTCTGCAGCACGGGGCGTCTGCGGTGCGTTGTTTGGCCCATGACTGTGTCCAACCGCCTGCATGGCAACGGCGAGATGGCGGCTCTAGGGAGTCGGGCGGGAGCGGGCGGCAGGACAGGGACGGGGGTGACCCTCTCAAGACGCATCAGCACAGCGCCTCGTATTCTCAACTCACCCCTGCCGCCTTTGCTCGTGGCACCGAGCACAGCATGGGTCTGTGGAAGGGTGGCTGGCTGCATGGCTGGCTTGTTTGCCGCTGTCGGAAATGTGTCAACGCTGCTCACGATACACTTCTACCGTTCATACATCACCGACGGCTTCATTAAAAACGAGTAGTCGGGAGTCAAAGACGACCAGGTGGCGCAACAGACTCATCGACAATCGCGGGCTACCTGTTAGTCTAGGAGAGGACGACAGCGCACACCCACATTGACTCGAAATGTTTGCGCTTGCGACCGCCACGTAGAGTATATATACACAAGTTCGGAAGAATGAAATCGAGGCATTGCCGAATACAAAAGGCGTCTCAGGTGAGCAAATCATTCATGTAGCTCAACACGCCCATCAAAGTTGGCGCTCCAATGCAGAGAATATGCTCCAGGAAAATCTAAAACCTACTGGATGTGGTATAGGAAAAGAAAGGAGGCCCAGAAATCAGGATATACAAACGCCAAAAATGCTTTCGGTGAACAAACAAAACTCAGCTAGAAACACCAGATATGGCGGCCTGCAACGTACGCAGCAGCGCGGCATCCGAGTTCGTTTCTGACAGGTCCATCTCCCCACTCGTGTCGGCGGGCAGGCTGCTGTGCGTTACTTCTGCTGCCAGTCCTGGCTGCTGCGGCTGGGCCTGCGCCTGCGCCTGAGCCGGTGGCTGTTGCGCTTGAACATGCTGTACTCGCGGCTGCTGCGCTTGCACCTGTTGGGGATTCTGGACATGTTGCTGGACGTGCGCTTGCCTAGCTTGAGGGTGCTGGGCAGGCTGCCGGACAGCTTGCTGCTGAGCCTGTGGATGCTGAGTTTGTTGCTGGGCAGGCTGTGCGTGTGGTGGGTATTGCGCCTGTTGGTGATGCTGTTGCGGCGCTTGTTGCTGCTGCACAAGTGGCCTGGGTGCTTGAGGAAGAGTCAGCGAGTGCTGTGGTTGCTGCTGCCCACCAGCAGGCACCTGAGGCCTTGCGGCCTGCGCCTGGGCCTGCTGGGGCTGTATCGGAGGAGTCGCGGTCCGTTGCTGTGGGTGGGCAGCCTGCTGCCGCGCCTGCGACTGTGTCTGATACTGAGGGTGCCCCGGCGGCAGCCGGCCCTGCTGCGCTTGCTGGACCTGGTAGACAGCCGGCGGCATGGTCGGGGCAGCTTGTGGCTGAGGAGTAGCCCGCTGTTGCACGGGCACGGGCACGGGCACGTGCACCTGTGGCGGTCGCTGTCCCTGGGCTTGCTGAAGTGGTTGCGGCGGCCGCGACTGGGGGTAGGCCTGTGGGGTTCTTTGGGGTGGAGCGTAGTGTTGTTGATGTTGTTGCGGTGACGGCTGCTGTTGTTGTAGCGGTTGCGGTTGCGGTTGCTTTTGCATGGTTTGCTGGTGTTGTAGGTTACTCTGTGGGAGGCGCTGCTGGGCCTGCTGCGTATGAATCTGGTGGTGTACAGATGCCGTGGCGCTCGCTGGACTTGAGTGTCCGTGAGGTGACGGCGTCATGGCAGGAGGCACACCTCCGGCAGGTCGAGCCACAGCCCCGTTGAGAGCCAGCGGGGTTGGTGCCACGGCAGCATGCGTCATCGAAGCCGTTGAAGTTGCTGGCGGTATTGCCACCTTGGCGGGCCCCATGACGGGTGTGTGAACTGGTGTCGACGGACTGCCCGTCCTGGCCCCGGCGCCGCCATAAACGGATCCCCCAGGCGTGAGTGGAGAGTAGGTTGGCGCACTAGGCACAGGACTGGCCCCCTTGTTGTTCCCATTGCCGCCGCCGTTGCCGTTGTTGTTGTTATTATTGTTGATCGCGTTATTGTTTTGGAGCCCGCCGGCCAAGGTCATGATTCCCTGAATCCTCGCGTTCTCCTCCTCCGAGTTCATTCGTGCCTTTTCCTCCGCCTCCTTGCGCGCGGCCTGGCTCGGAGCACGAGTTTTGAGCTCGCCCGTCACGCACTGCAGATAATAAGGCATTTCCGAATTGGTCTTGAGGAAGAAAAGCTTGAGGTTGCGCGCCTTGTCCTTGAGCTGCACCTGGGTGCGGTCCTTGAGGATATCGTTGATTGTGCCGTTGGAGCCAAACAGCTGAAGGATCTGGCTCCAGTGAGGGCCCTTGACCATATCAAGCCCCGTCATCAGCGCCCGTTCCTCCTCTGGCGTCCAGGGCCGACGCGTCGAGTGCAGTCCCTCCCGGCGGGCGTGTGCCGTCGACTTGGCCACGGCGGCTTGACGTGCGCGCTCGTAGAGCACTGTCGTTGGCGAGCTTTGATGAGGCGGCAGGTCCACAGAATGGCCGCCAGACGCCGCCGGCGCCCCGTTTGGTTGACAGCCGGCTGCGTATGCCGAACTCTGATACTGCATGTATGAATTTTGCATGCCGCCCTGGTGATATGGAGAAGCACCCGCGCCAAGCTTCTCGGCTATCAGGGACGCGAGGCCCTTGGGCTCCGTCTCCAGCGGCTTCTCCTTCTCTAGCGAGTCCTGGATGAGCTTACCCAAACCAAGGCTCTCGGACAAGGATGAGGCCAGGTCCGGCGCCGCTAGCTCGGCCATCCCTATCGCATCCACCTTGACGGGGGCCTGCAGCGCAGACAGGTCAAAATCTAATGCGCCATCCATCGGCAGATCCGTCATCGGCTCTTCGTCGACTGGAATTTCGATACCTTGACTCTCGGCATAACGCAGGACCGTGTCGTGGTTGTCCCTTAGATACTTGTTCACCTCGTCCAAAAACCCGTCGCTTGGATACTCGATAGAGAGCATTCCTGCAGCCCCAGAAAGTCAGCACGCGGTATGGCCAAATTATGCAGGGAGACGCAGACCAGCCCAGCTCAATAGCACATACTCCTCTTCATGGCATCTCTGATCTCGTTGCCAAAGCGCTCGCCCCTCTTAGTCGACGCGCTCACAAAGACCTTTTCTGTCTGGGTCAGGGGTAGATCCGGGTGGAGCTGCTTCAGGGGCGCCTCTGCATCGGCGGGAAAGAAGCCCGCGAGTATTTCCCTCATGCGCCCCTCCTCGACGTTTTCCGGGCATGCGCGCAGAAACGCCTGGGTCTTGAGACTCAGAAAAAGCTTTATCAGCTCGTCGCTGAGAGGCCCGTACTCTGGCACAAAGGTTCGCAAGAAGGCGTCGTGCGCCTCGGCCAGCGACGCGTCATCCGACTCGAAGATAGTTGAGCAGATAGTAGCCATGTTGGTCATCTGAATGGTCTCGAGATCGCCCGACTCTTTAATCTCGAGTTCGTCCGGGTGTAGGATGGAGGATGTGTCGGAAAACATTCTGCGCGCTTGTTTGAATGTTGCGCTCAGAGCCTTGTAGGCCTTGCCCATCTCTGATTCTGAGCTGCGGATCGCCGCCACCGTCTCGGGGCGGGGTTTCTCCGAGAGCGCAAGGAGCACTTGCACCGCCTGCATCACGCCATCAGTCGCGGTTAGCAGACGAATCGACGGTAAGGGGGCATTAGTGTCCAGAAGTCCGGGCTTACCAGAGTTCCGAGAAACGGCAACCCCATGGACCGCACGATATAAGTGGCATTCTGGAAGAACTTCATCTTCTTCTGCTCGTGCTTTATCTGTGGTCCGAGGCTGGCAATAGCAGCAGGCATAATCGTCGCCGCGGGCACGCTCACGAAGGGCGGCGCAGAGACAGGCAGTGCTTGCACATCAGGCTTGGCGTTAAAGTCAGGCATCGGTGGGAGGAGGTCGTTGAGCTGCTCGTCGAGGTTTCCGAGAGCCGACTCGAGGAGGGCGCCGATATCGAACGGATTCGCGTCGGGAGCTGGCGGGGCCGTCCCTGTTCTCAGTCTCTTCTCATCCCCACCCGTGGGATCCCCAAGCTCGGGACTCCTAGGCCGCTTGAGGGCGTTGAGGATGCTGTCGGCGAGGTTGAATGACATGTCATCCAGCGGCGCCAGAGCTGCTGCCTGGGCCTGGGGTGGCGTGTGTATGTAGGCGGGAACGGCAGCGACAGCGGGTGCCGGAGCGGAAGCCGGCGGTTGTTCTTGGACCGGGGCCGAGACTGGTGGGAGCGATGCGGCTGGTGTTTGCGCTGGTATAGAAGCAGCGGTTGATATCGGCGCCGCTGTCAGGGAAACTGTCTGTGTCGGGGCTGGTGAGGGAGTTGGCCCTGGACAAGGGGCTGGTGCAGGAGCCACCGTTGGCGCTGGTGTCGCCGTTGTCGCCGGGACTGCAGGCGCGGATGCAGGGAGGGTAAGGGCCGCCGAGGGGACCGCAGGCGCTGGAGAAAGGACCGAGACGGGCGCTAGGGCAGGAGCAGGCGCGGGAGCTTGAGGTGTCTCGGGTTTGACATGGTTGTTGGCTGGAGCGCGTGGGTGCCCATTAGCATTCCTGGGTCGTCCTCGATGCAAACATGGCCCGCAGGGCAAGCCCGAGGCCGTCGCGCAGACTCAGCGCCGACCAAGTCCACGGGCAGGCCCGAGGCTGGCGCGGGGATGGAGCATACCGACTGAGGGCTCCGGGGCACCGTCTGGGCCATTGTCCGGGGCCGTCGCCGCGGCGCTCAGCACGGGCTCTGCCATTGCTGTGCCGCTGAGGGGGTAAGTCTATTCAGCGCTGTCGCTATCATGGGATGGCGATCGATTCGATCCGACACTAAGGACGCGGAGGGCGGCGTGCTGCGAGGCGCGATGTTGATTCCCAGGCTTGGCGCTTTGTCGAGAAAAAATTGCGGAGAAGGCGGCCGAGGCTGCCCTTATTTCTTGCCCCAGCAACATGATACACAACTCGTGGCGGCACAAATTTTTCAGCCTTGGAAATTCAATATTAGGCTTCTTATTTTGACCTGCAAAGCGATGCCAGCACTTTTGTCGAGACAATTGATTCCGTGACAGTTTGAATGTTTGTGTCCAGCCAGCAAGAGGTGATCAAAAGTCATATGCGACTTGTATCCTTCTTGTCTTCCCATGTTGGGTCGGTGGGCACTTGTGATGCTGCACGGTTGCGCTCCTGAAATTGACTGGAGCAAGCTCACCACATTTTCAAACCTTGGACGATGACGACTTTACGTTATTTTTATTTTAACTGACTATTTCCAACTATAACAAGAAAATCAGCACTTTACACTTTACAGATACAATGAAACGGGATATCCTAGGGGACACTGCAAAGGATACGGAGCGGAAAGATATTAGAGATCAATGATAGCACACGAATGGGAATCGAACTGAAAGCAACGTTTGCTCAGCCATTTCGGGCAATCGTGAACCAGCCAACTGAACCAGCCAACAGCCTAGTCATGCAAACTCACGGCGCTCCAACAAAGGCCGAGATCGGCAGACGGAAAACGGATCACCAAAACAAGACGCCAAGCCAGGCAGGTCCCGCCCGCGCTGCATCCGTTTTCTCAGCTCCGTCGGACCTAGCACCAAGTTCGAGCCTGGTCGTCCACCCTGTTTAAGCTCCAGCGGATGCACCACCCCCAGAAGCTTCGTCTGCAGCGACAGGGACATGGCCTTTGTTTGCTCCAACACGACATGCTGTGCGTCTCACCATCTGTCAGCTGCAGAGTGTGGGGTTCGTGAGGAGGGCCTGGCTGGCGTCGCGCACACCAGTGGGAATTTCGGTGGAATGGAAAGCCATCCGGCGGCCCGAAAGGTCAGTGCGGCTGGGGACGACGAACCGACGGGTTGGGGGTCATCCATGTCGCCCTGGACTCGCTGGCTTTTAGGCCGAGGGGTGACGGGACTGCGCGGGGAACCGAGCCCGGGGAGCAGTACTCTGCGGTACACAGTAGTAGGTCTCAGTTTGGTTTGGCCGGGACAACTTGGACCCAAGAGCATCGTCGGAACGGGGCTGCTGACAAAAGCCTACCAACCCTCATGGCTGCCAAGGATTCTCTGCTTTGACGAAAAGCCATTTTCACAATTCCACATGCCATGTCTTTGTGAAAAGAGCCGGTTAGAAGTAGATTCCCTGCGTGTGGCTCCGAGCAGAATCATTGGTGCGACATGCACGCTCGCCGTGGCTAATAACGGTGACGATGCGGGGTAGTGCTCGCCGCGGGGGATGGTAGCATCGATCCCCCTCCACGACGTCCCCTATCCCTCTATCATGAGGTCCATTGCGCCACGCGCGGCTCCCTTTGTCCAGGAGTTCCCTCAATCTGGTGTCAAGCTTTAGGTTCCGGAAGCGATGTGCCATGTAGAGAAGACGATGGGAACGCCATGTCGGATGCGCCAAAAGGACCAGCGGCAAGTTCGGGCGCCATCAGGTAAACAACCGGATCGATTAAGCTGAACCTTGAGATATCCCATTGGACGAGACGGACACCTTCCATCTTCCTTCGATCCGTCACACCACCCTAGGATCAACGGGAAGACATTAGGGGCATTTCACTGCCGGGGCCGGGCTCGATGGTAAAGATATTTGGTAACAGCGCATGTGGTGTGCACCGCGAGAGCCAGGCCTCGAGGGGCTGCCCAATCAGCGAGCGTGGTTTGTACGGGGCCCGTCGTCATGATGGGATATTATGGGATATTGATTGACCAGTGCGGGGAAGGCGGCGAGACGGACTCGAGACTTGGGCCGACGTGAAATTTTCTGGCGTGCGGCAAACGCCTCCAAACACCGACAGGCCAATCCGGGACGCCTTGTCGGAACCCAGGAGGGCGTGGCTTGGGAGTGTGGAACTCGGCGTGGAGCTGCGCGGTGGGAGGAGGCCGATTCACACCCAGCGGCCACCCCAGTCTGGCGCGCTCGGCTGGACGTGCGACCAGAAATGGCCCCGAAATGGACCAGCAATGGTGGGGGGATGACTGGGACAGCTCCTCCTTTCACGGCTCATGGCCTCCACCGGGATCCCGAGGCTGGCCCTGTGCAGCGTACCTCCCCAGCAGCCCCCGCCTTCCAAGCATTGCCGCTGCCGCCACCTCCCAGCTGTCCTGGATGCCCACCCTTGTACCGTTGCCGACCGGCTGTGCTTGTTGTGATGTGTTGTGCCTCGTGAGCTGCTGGTACCGACTGTTCAAACCCCGCTTTGTTTTATAATAAACCACCTGGCCCTCCTCTTGTTCCCTCGAAGCTCCTCTTCTTGTTCTGTCACTTCTACATTTTCCCGCTCCTCCTTAACCCGCACCCCCCATCCTATCCAAGCAACTCCCCAGATACCCCGTCCTCACATACCGACCGCCCCAACACACACCCACAGAAGCTACAGGATGGCGAACCTATTCACGGAGCTCAAGACTCCTGCCACCGGCGCCTTCAAGCAGCCGCTTGGTCTGTAAGTGCCGCCCGTTCTGCCGTATTGAACCGATCCTAGCCGAGGTAGCAAAGTCTGACCTCGTCACCTCTGCCGCCAGCTTCATCAACAACGAGTGGGTTGAGGGCTCCGACAAGAAGACGTTCGAGGTCATAAACCCCACCACCGAGGAGGTCATCTGCTCCGTCCACGAGGCCACCGAGAAGGACGTCGACCTGGCCGTCAAGGCCGCGCGCAAAGCCTTCGAGGGCGAGTGGAAGCAAACCACCCCGCAGCAGCGCGGCATCCTGCTGAACAAGCTCGCCGACCTCGTCGAAAAGAACCTGGACCTGCTCGCCGCCGTCGAGTCGCTCGACAATGGCAAGGCCTTCGCCATGGCCAAGGGTGACGTCGGCGCTGTCGTCGGCTGCCTGAGGTACTACGGCGGCTGGGCCGACAAGATCGAGGGCAAGACCATCGACATTGCCCCCGACATGTTCCACTACACCAGGCAAGAGCCTGTAAGTCGAAGCTAGGCGGGGTGGTGGCTCCTTGTGTGACACGACACCGGCACTGACAAATGTTCCTCTCAACGTATGCAGATCGGAGTCTGCGGCCAGATCATCCCATGGAACTTCCCCCTCCTCATGTTTGCCTGGAAGATCGGCCCTGCCCTGGCCACGGGCAACACGGTTGTCCTCAAGACCGCTGAACAGACCCCCCTCTCGGGCCTGGTCATGGCGCAGTTCGTCAAGGAGGCCGGCTTCCCCGCCGGTGTGCTCAACGTGGTCTCGGGCTTCGGCAAGATCGCCGGCGCCGCCATCTCGGCGCACATGGACGTCGACAAGGTGGCCTTCACGGGCTCGACCGTGGTCGGACGCACCATTATGAAGGCGGCGGCGTCGTCCAACCTCAAAAAGGTCACGCTCGAGCTCGGCGGCAAGTCCCCCAACATCGTCTTCAACGACGCCGACATCGAGCAGGCCGTCAGCTGGGTCAACTTTGGCATCTACTTCAACCACGGCCAGTGCTGCTGCGCCGGCTCGCGCGTCTATGTGCAGGAGGACATCTACGACAAGTTCGTGGCCGCCTTCAAGGCGCGGGCGGAGAAGAACGCCGTCGGCGACCCCTTCAAGGACGACACCTTCCAGGGCCCCCAGGTCAGCCAGCTGCAGTACGACCGCATCATGGAGTACATCAAGGCCGGCAAGGACGAGGGCGCCACGGTCGAGACGGGCGGCGGCCGCCACGGCGACAAGGGCTACTTCATCCAGCCCACCATCTTCACAAACGTGCGCAACGACATGAAGATCATGCAGGAGGAGATCTTCGGCCCCGTCTGCGCCATCGCAAAGTTCAAGACGGAGGAGGACGTGATCCACATGGGCAACGACTCCAGCTACGGCCTTGCCGCCGCCGTGCACACCAAGGACCTCAACACGGCCATCCGCGTCAGCAACTCGCTCAAGGCGGGCACCGTCTGGGTCAACTGCTACAACATGCGTAAGTTTTTGTGCTGTATCTATGTCTTTGTGGTCGCGATTGCTAATCATGCGTTATCTTGTGACAGTGCACCACCAGCTGCCCTTTGGTGTAAGTTATCCACTCCTGTCCATTATTCTCAGCAGTGGCCATGATGCTAATCATCTTTTTTTCCTGCACAGGGCTTCAAGGAGTCTGGTATCGGCCGCGAGCTCGGCGAGGCTGCGCTGGCCAACTACACGCAAACCAAGTCGGTCGCCATCCGTCTCGGCGGCGCTCTGTTCTAAGCGGTGTCGCCCAGGGCGACGGGGGCGGTGGAGGAAAAAAATGGCCGTTTTCACACGGCTGCCCGAGAGAGAAGGGGCATGGGTTTTGCGTCTGGCCGGGGATACCATGAACCAGATTGACGGGAAACCGTTCAAGATATATGATGATGGGGGAAGGACGCTAGGTTGGCTGCATTGATTCCCAATCTGTACATTACATCTCTTTCCGCGGCTCTGGAATTAACAGACGCGTGGGCATGAATGAAAACTGAGTGCTCAAATACTTTCGTTCGTAAAGACTCTTGGGTTTGTCGCCTGATTTTATGTGTGCGGTAGATGCGGCTTTGTATGTTGGAACTGGGCTAACGTTGCGAGAGCATTGTGTGAGGCGGTATGTACAGGCATGGCCAGTGACGTCGATAGCCTGTGGGGTCACAAATGCCGTAACAAACCACCACACGACAAAACTCGCGACGGCAAGCGCGCCTGCACAACCTCGAACTGGCCCCGCGACAGTGAGCCGGAAAAAAAAAAGGATAAACAAAGGGAGCCACTGACTGAAAGCGAGAACTCAGTGCCAAAATAAAATAAAATAAAAAGGAGAAAAATGTCGCTGAACCGCCCACTGTCGGCGGCGGGCGGCGCGAGCGAAAAGTCGGCCTTTGAGCTGCAGCGCGAGGCGCTCATTGGGGAGATTGCCATGGTCCGTTTTCCTTTTTGTCGCCCCGTCTACCGAACCGACCTGAGAGAGAGAAAGAGAGAGAGGCGGGCATCAAGACACGGCGGGCGTGGACTGATAGAACGGGGGGAACGTGTGTCTAGAGCTTCGAGCACGTACTTGCCAACATCAACAAGCTGAACCGGTCGCTCGAGGCCGTCATCACGGTATGCCCTCCCTCAAGTGATTATCTTGACGGGCGCGTCTCGGCCCATTTCCTCGCATTGCGCTGACCAAAATCCCTACCGCCAAACAAGGTCGGCAACGAGTTCTCGTCGGTCGAGGCGCTCTGGTCGCAGTTCGAAAACGTCATGGCCAAGGACGAGCCGGACGAGGGCGAGGGCGAGGCGGGGAGCGGCGGTGGCGGTGACGACAACGACGACGACAGCAACAGCGGCGGTCGGTCAAAGGGCGGTGATGATGCCAAGAGGTGAACCATAGTATCCCACACCGACTCTGACGGGTAAATCAAATGATACCCAGACAACATGATATGCACGGTAGCAATTGCAAGTAGGAGTTTGGAAAAGGTACATTTTTTCAAAAAATGATATGACTTTGTTTATGTGTCCTACCCTCCCATTCCCTGATGAGCTGGGAAATCCATTCTACAAAAGAAAGATATCTGGCGGAAAGAAACAAGAGTGATTGCAATGATACAAAAAGGGGACATACAGTCGCAGGACAAAATGGCCTTTTTCAAAACAAAACGGGTAAGACGAAAAAAAAAACACACGGGGTGGGCTGGGAGGGGAGAGGGAGAGGGAGAATACAGGAGTCGCCGAACCCATCGCAGCCAGAATGATAACTGTCAAGCATGAAAAGAAACGAGAATGGAGGATGGAGGTGGCTCGTGACGATACTTGGCCTCCCACATCCTCTGCGACGACCGTTTGCGCCTTGCAATGATTCCGTTTCGATGCAGTGCCAGACACAATACGCCGCACCTCGGCCAAAAAAAACAAAAAAACATGATCCTCCTCTTGGTCTTCGTTTTTGTTTTTCGAACCGCCTCGCAACGGTTTCCCAATATCATCAAGATCTCGTCTCGTCTGACCATGGACAAAGTCGCCGCCTGTCCAAGATGGCGCATCGCATCTCCAAGGGGAAGAAAAAAAAAAGGGCAACAGGAACAAAACATTCAATGAATCGTCGGTCGCGCTCGCGGTAACAACGTAGTTCGAGAGTAAGGGCGCAGGGGAGTGGTATGCCACGATTCCACCCGTACCTAAATCTCCAAGATATCCCTTTCCTGCGGGCAAACGAAGCGAAGAAAAAAAGAAACGAGAAGCAAACAGGGGCAAACAGAGACAAATAGAAAACAAAAGTCGTCCCGAATCGTGCAGTAGGTCGTTCATTAGGTTGTCTTCTCCCTCATACTCGTCCGCCCCTCCCCCTCACCTCCTGGTGCACGGCTCATGCTGGGCGGTGCACCCTCATCCAACTCGTCCTTCGCGGAACCGTCTCCATGTTTCTTCAGTTGCTTGGGGGGGTGGGTGTAGAGTGTTGTGTGGCGCATGCAGAGGGGGATCGGGTAGAAGAAAAAGATATAGCAAAAGAAAACAAGCACGGAGAGCTAGCGGAGGCGCGAAAAGCACCCCCCGTCACCACTTGGCGTTGGGAGGATTATCAAGGTTGGCAGCAGGCAGAAAGCACCGGTGTTTCACTTCAAGCCCCTCACAAGAAGTTGCACTTTCGCTTCTTCCTCTTGGGCACACCAAACCCAGGCAAATTGCTGCCACCCGACGAGTAGGTGACACCACTGCCGCCGCCGCCGCCGGATGCGGCCTGGGCCTCGAGAACCTTGCGGTCGCTGGAGACGACTGTTTCGATGGCGAGCTCAAAGATCTCGTCCACTCCGCGCATCTCCTTGCTGCTGCATTCCATGTACTGGGCGTTCATCTTGCGTGCCACGACCTGCCCCTGCTCGGCGGTCACGGGCGTGAGGCCCTGGGCCTTGAGCATGTCGATGCAGGTTTTGCGGAAGCGCAGATCCGATTTGAGCCCAACCAGGACGAGCGGTGTGTAGGGGCAGAAGTGTAGGACCTCGGGGTACCACTGAATTGTTGCTTGTCAGACCAGTTTTACACCAAAACATGAGCCAAGGAGCGGATGGCAACGAACCTTGTCCATAACATTCTCTAGTGAGTTGGGGCAGTCGATGGCGAAGCAGACAAAAATCAAATCGGTCTCGGGGTAGGAGAGCGGTCTCAGGCGATCGTACTCCTCTTGGCCGGCCGTATCCCACAGGGCAAGCTCAACTGTCTTACCGCTGGGGTTGTGTGTCGGGTAGGTGATGTAGTTCTCGAAAACAGTAGGGACGTATTTCTGCGAGCGCTGTCAGTTGTTGTCCAGCAAAGGAGAAACAGGACCTATTTCGACATACCTCTGGAAAGTACCCTTGGCTGTAGCTGATCAACAGGCATGTCTTTCCGCAGCCGCCGTCGCCGACGACGACAATCTTCTTGGAGTAGGCAGGAGCCTCGGTCATGTGGGTCGCCGACGACTCTCTACCGGTCGACGAGCTCATCATGGTGCTGACAGTGCCATCGCTCGACCGGGTCCCGCGGTTCTCTCGTCGCTCAATGGTGGACCTGCGCTGCATCGACGGCTCGTACTTTTCCTGCGACGACTGGCGGTGGTTGTCGCTGCTGTGGTTGTTGTTGTTGTAGTAGGAGTTGCGGTATTGATATGAGGAGGCCATGGCCCGCGGCGATCGTTTGCGGTGGCGTGTTTGTTTGATTCCTTCTTCTTCCAAACTTCTAAACAAGAGCAGGAAGCGGCTAGGGTGTGTGTGATGGAAGGATGGCGGCTTGGTCGAGACAAAGGCGATCGCCGTCCAGACGAGACAAGCAAATAGCAACCGGCGCTTTCTGGAGTTTGGCAGAAACGACAACGGCGGTGTACAGATGAATGTGCTGCAGGCCTCAAGCCGGGTCGAAGATGAACAGTAAGATGGTGCGGCGGAATGAAGCTGTTTGGTTTAGAGTGATAGATGGTTCTCGGGTCAGGAGAGTAGAAGAAAGAAGTCGAGGCACGGCGAGATTTGATGCGGAGCGACGAGGCGCAAAAGGGAAGTGCTGCAGCCCAATTCCAGGTTCTGGGCCTTGTCGACAGCGTTTTGTCAATAGTCGGCACGGCAACCACGAACCACGGGCGGATGATGCAAAGGGTGGGGCTCCCAATCAACACACTCCAGTCGTTTCGTTAAGTGGCTGAGCGCGCCCAGGCGAGGCACACCCCTGCCCCGCGGTCGCCCAGTCACGAAAAGGCGCGCTGCATTCTGCGGCCCCGCCCGCACTTTGGGCGCTGGTCAGAGGCGGCACGTGCTCGCCTCTCCCTTGCTTACAGGGACTGGGTTCCTGCAAAAGCTTTTCCACCAAGATCCTCCAATTTCCTGCTTTATTTTTTTCTCGACCTCTTTCTTCGACGGGAACGGAACACAAAGAAAAGCCCAAGTGGAAGGACGATCTTTACCTCACAAAGCACCCTCAACCCCTCCCTCTCTTTCCCCTTCCAGCCCGCGCTTGTCGTCGCCTCTGCCGCGCCGCAACCAACGTCTCTCGACATTCGCCGCCATACAAGCGTACACGATGGATGTCGAAGGCAGCACCAAACCCCCCTCAAAGTACATCACGCTGGTATCGAGCGATGGCTTCGAGTTTGTCGTCCTCAGGGAGGCTGCCATGGCCAGCCCTACCATCAAGACCATGGTCAACCCTCAAAGCAAGTATCTGGAGGCCGAGTCTGGCCGGTGCACTCTCGAAGAGCTGAGGTGGGTTTGTTTTCCTGCCCGAGCCAGCCAGTCGCGAGCGGCCTAGTCTCCTGGGGTCGCCCCGCCCAGGTCGGTCGCTATGACCTGCCCGCTCGCAGCCCTACATCCTCGCCGGGCAACCGAAATCCCGGGCAACCGAAATCCCTGGATGATGAAAGCTGTTTTGCTACTGCCTGACGAGGAACGCATGCTTCGGCATGACGGGCCTCTATGGAGTTGTGACTACACTTGATCTGACTCCCCTTGTCCTTCCATACGCCCACACTTGCCCTTTCTCTCCTTTCGTCCCTCCCCGTGGCCGACCGGCTACCATGTTTGATGTCGACTAACATGTCGACTCCAGCGGGGTGGTTCTTGGCAAGGTGGTCGACTATTTTCACTACTGGTACCGGTTCAAGAACGCCCAAGATGTCCCAGACATGGAGATTCCCACAGAGCTCTGCCTCGAGATCTTGATGGCGGCTGACTACCTCGGGATGCATAGTGTGTTACCCCTGAGCCCCTCTCTCCCTGTCCTTATGATGCTGACAGCCGATCAGAGGATTTGTGAAAACAGGCCAGTGGTATCCCCAGGCATTTCATGATTTGATGACCGGAGTTTGGGATATTGGCTTCCGTTCATGGGCTAGCCAATTCAGCTGCCCAGCAGGAGTTCCGGGATTTGGCAATAATGTTCCTGATATAGACAGCCAGGGTAGGCTGCAAACACACAGCAAGCCGATACCCCCAGTTGGGGTATCTCGGCCTGTTCTCCTCACCCTAGCCAGTGTGCATTTCCCTGATGCCTCGTGACAGCACTCCACCATCTTAGCATATGCGTTCAACTAGACCTTGTGTCTGTGAGTTGTTCGCCTAATATAGATGGAAGATTACTTACATCCCCCACACTCTGCTGGACCGTTCACCTTCGCGGTGGTCTAGCTTTTTAGGAGGGGATACATGCCGTCGTAGGATCTAGACCTTTATGGGGTGGCACATACAGCCGGATTCGACCACCCGTGTTTGAATACAATTGTTTGCGCGTTGCTTTCGTGAAAGCCCCGCTGTGAGATTGGCGCCGTATTGGAAACCGTACAGTCAAAGCTTGGAACGTAACGAGCGTCCTAATTGCGCCCTCGACCTCGTCCGCCCCTGCCTCTACCTCCACCTCTGCCTCGCCCTCCCCTCCCGCCGCCGCCTCTCCCCCCTCGCCCCCAACCGCCACCACCACCACCCGGACCCCCGGATGGCCCGCCGGGCGGGGCGTTGGCCTTCATCTCCGCCCTCTCCTCCTCGGTCGCGTCCCACAGGTCCTCGATGCCGACCAGGTCGCAAAACGCCGTCGTCTGCGGGTTCGTGTACTCGTCCGGCTGCCCGCCCACGGCCTCGGGGCGACCGGGGACGTGCGGCGGCGCCGTGTGCGCAAAGTTGTCGGGCACCCTGAGCCTCCCCTTGGCCACGACGTGCTCCTCGACCCAGGCGCGCTCGGCGTCGACCAGCGGCGCGTAGTGCGCCTCGCCCATGTCCGGGGGCGCGCGCGTCACCGACGGGTCGCCCATGCCGACGGCGAGGTCCTTGGACGTGACGCGCGTGATGGCGAGCCACTCCGGGTCGTACTCGAGCTCGTACCGGCGGGGGTAGGCCTTTGTGGTGGGGGTGGTGGGGGTGGTAGCGGCGGGACGGGTACGGGTGGGGGAGGCGGCGCGGGAAGAGCGGAGGGGAGGGTGCGCGGCCGCCTGGGCCGGGTCGAGCGGGTGGATCTCGCACAGCTGCAGGAAGGGGCGGCCCGGGAGGCATTTGTCCAGCGCGAGGAAGCGGACCGTCTGGTTGGTGATGCCCGGCGGCACTGGCTGGCCGGGCGTGGTTCGCCGGCCTCCCGTCGCGCGTACGGGTGTTTCGGCGGTCGGGGGCGGTTGGCGGAAGGATGCGGGGAGGAGGGCGCGGAGGTCGTCGGATATCTCCCAGGCGTGCTTGTTGTCTGGTGATTGCTGCTGCTCCGGGTTGGTGCCCTCCTCATCCTGGTTGGTTGTCCGAGTCTCCTCTGGCTTGGACTCGGCGGGCTTGGCGGCTTGCGTCTCGGCGCCTCCCTGGTCGTTGTCGACGTCGTCCATGTCCAAGTCGATTTCGTCCGGGTTGTCGGCTGGTAGGCTGCCTTCGGCTCCAGCCGCCGCCCCAACACCGGCAACGGCAGACTCCTCCTCAGCAGCCCCTGGCGCCGCCCCGCGGCCCTCGTCGTCGGCGTACTGCCTGACGGCTGAGAACTTGCAGTGCATGTGGGCCGAGAACCAGTAGGCGGGCCTGAGGCGGTCCATGACGTAGGTCGCGGCCGGGTTCCCCAGTGTGCCGTCAAGGGACTCCTGCTTGAAGTAGGGCTTGTTCCGGAACAGCGTCTTCTCGTCCCCGAGGCGCTCGATGGCGCGGGGCCAGTCGTGGCTGATGCCGACGTCGACCTGGGAGCGCAGCAGGAGCAGGCGGCGCACGTCCACCTCGCGCATGTGGTAGAAGCTCTTGACGTCGCGGTAGCTGAACGGCAGGCGCTCCCCGTGCGGGCGGTTGTAGTCGGCCGGGTTGAAGATGCCCGACACGGACGCGATGCGGAGCGGGCCCAGGCGCATGACCGACGCGGCGCCCAGGTAGTAGATGTTTGGGGCGACCCAGCCGCCGTGGAAGAGCTCGCGCAGGTGCGCGGCCGCCTCGTGGTTGCCGCCCGTGAAGACGGTCAGGTAGGGGGCGGCGCGCGAGCCGGCGTAGTACTCGTGGAAGTCGCCCAGGGCGCGGTACTTGACGGGCACCGACATGACGTTGAGGTCGGCGGGGTTGCGCACCGCCTGGAAGTCGCCGCAGATGATGACCAGGTCGACGGCGCCACCCCAGCCGCGCTCCTTGCTGGCGCGCTCGACCGAGGAGTAGATGGCGTTGAGCGTGCCATGGCCCTGGGGTTGGTTGGTTGGTTAGCCGTCTGTTCCCAGCGTGAGAAGGAAAAGAAGGGGGGAAAAAACTTACGCAGCCTTCAATGGCAACCCGCACCCCGCCCTTTGCCGTGAGGGTTTCGGTTGTCATTTTGGGCTTTTTGCCGCGACTATATGATCGCGAAAACCCCTTGGTGGCGGCTCGAACGAACCAGAGGTACTTTTGGTGATGCAGCATCAAGTTCTCGTGCTGACCTTCATCTTCCTGTGAGACGCCCTTGATCGCGGGCTAATGGCTCGATTTGGCAGGCGCACTTGGGATCCCATCTCCAGGGTGGTGACATGAGTCAATGTGGGGCGTGCTTCATTGGGCAGATGGATCTACAGGGCTGTTGCGGTGTTGGGCGAGCCTGTAAGGCCGCCTTGACACTGGGCCCAGTGGATTGAGGTGATAGACGTAGATTGAACTGGTTCCTCGGAGTGAATATTTTACGCATCTGAGGCATCCATTGATGGCCAGCCCGAAGCCTCAGGCTTGAGTGATTCATTCCCTGTATTTCGGGGCGTCCGAATATCCACGTCCAATCACTCACTAAAAGCTGCGCCTGGCCAACGCACCCTGAAATTCCCGCCCCAGATCGGAACGCAGCTCAGCTCGCGATAATTTTTAGGGAGTTTCATGCGTCCAGCCATTGAAAGCCGCCATGGGCATGTGCACGAGACCAAGCCGGGCTTACACTCAGACAGTCATTTATGACTCTGTAGATTATTATCTCTGGGCTAAGGATAGCTGGTATGAGGAGAGTGAGTACATTAAAGGGCTGCCCACCTACCCCTTTTCCACTCCATCAACCATCTTCATCGTTAATCTCAAGAAGATCTCAAGAAGCCAAAACTCTACCCTTGACAACATCCCACGCACTTGACATCACTTGACCATGTTCAACTTTCACCTGTCATACAAATGGCTACGCTGGACGCGCCCAACCTCCCCTCCTCCTCCTCTCCCGGACGGCGTGGAGCGCTTCTTCACCAAGACCTCCTCGGGAGACCTCGAGATCCTGTACGCCGCTCCCATTGCCGATGGCAGTAAGCCGCCGTCGCGGTCCCCGCCCATACTCTTCGTCCATGGCGGCATGGGCAGTGCCTGGGTCTGGCTCGAGTACATGCAATACCTCTCGGCGCGCGGCGTCCCCTGCTACGCCGTCTCGCTCCGCGGCCACGGCGAGTCCTGGCACCCCAGCTACCTGCGCATGGTGTACGGCACCACCCGCCGGGACCTCGCCGACGACATCGTGTCGGCCATGCGCGCCCTCGTCTACCGCGACGCCTCGGTCGACGGCGCCGAGACCGAGGTCGTCCTGGTCGGCCACTCCAGCGGCGGCGGGCTGTCGCAGTACGTCCTCCAGGCCCCCTGGTTCGGCGAGCGCGGCCTGCCCCGCGTGCGCGGCCTTGCCCTGCTCGGCGCCGTGCCCGGGTTCGGCAGCCTGGGCGTCTACGTCAACTGGTGGCGCGCGGACCCGCTCTTCACCGTCCGGATGCTGTTCCACGGCTGGCACCCCAACTCGCCGCTATCGCACCCGGCCCTTACGAAGCGCATCTTCTTCAGCGACGGCGGGGTGGACGACGACTACGTGGCCAGGTTCCAGGCGCGCACGAGCGCCTACGAGAGCTTCCTGTGGCCCATCAGCATGATGCGGCCGTTTGTCGACCCGGAGCGTCTGCTCCGCCGCCTCTTTGGCCGGGCGGGCGCGGATGACGGCAGCAGCCAGAGGATCTTGGTCATGAGCGGTGAGGGGGACAGGCTGATGACCCCGCCCGTGATGCGTCACCTCGCGGCTACCTACCGCGCCGCGTTCCTTGGCGAGGCCAGGGCGAAGAAGATTGAGGCTGGCCATGACGCGGCCGCGGTGGTGCCGCTGGCCGGGGAGGGGGGCCGCGACAACGCTGGCCAGGCGGTGAGGTTCTGCATGGTCCCGGGGGCGGGCCACCACCTCCAGAATGACGTCCAGTGGGAGGTCGGCGCGAGGAAACTGCTTGGATTTTACAGGCAGCTGTGAGGGGCGATGCCGCCCCCGGCTGCCCGGCACTGTTTCGCCATGGTGGAATGTGATGGAATCACGGCTACTTGCATTACCCCTCAGTCTATTGTGTGACAGTGCGTTGATACCCAACCTGCGACTTCTCAACTCCAATCCCACTCGCCTTTGGTGATAAAGCTTCATCATCCATCGCTACGTCTCTCTCCTTGCTGCTACATCTCAAACCAACAAACTCATCCGCCCTTTGGAGCATCTCTGCTCTTGAGGCCAGAGGGCGGGGGGCCCCTGGACAGGCCACACACACAAACAAGCACAACAACACCCCTACCAGCGCCGGCAACCCCAATTTCCTATCCCCATATATATATATCAAACCATACACACACTCTTACACTCTGTGTATCCATCCACCACAGCCCCGGGGTGACCGTGAGCATGCTGACGACCAGGAGGCTGATCTCACTGATAGTGATGATCGAAGGGTCGCCCTACAAGCTCTGCGATCCACTGCCATGTCAAACGGACAATGGAAAAATGGTATCGGTGCCTGCCGGATGTCATTTCAGAAGAGGATGGTATAGGGCGGATAGACCTATGGGTGTCCTGCGCAGCGTGTGAGTTGGCCTTCCACCCCATACCGGTACCCAAAAGGTACGTCTCGGCGTTGAGGACAGCGCAGCCCCGGGACTTGGTCATGTTGACAAACTTGTGTCTTTGCGAATCTCAGCTGGAACTGAGTGCCTCGACCTCAAACGGCAGCTGGATATGATGATTGAGGGCGGCGATGAACGAGGTCTGCGAAGTCTGTGAGGACTACGAGGACGAGTTCGCGAGACTGGATGATATGTCGGAGGAAGATTGGGTAAGGATGGACAGAACATCCCGAGCGCTCGCATCATCGCTACGCTGCTCCGACTCCCAAACTGACCCACCGCGCATGGAGGAGAATAGTGAATCCTTCCTCTTGACCTGGAACCGCAACGTGGTCTCCTCGTCTGGTCTAACTCCAGCCTTGAGCGTGAACTCTTTTAGATCCTGGTCGAGTGTACACAAGGGGACTTGGAGGCCTTTGCCTTCTCTTGGGCCTCCAGACGGAGTGGCCCGATCGAGATCTGGTTCCGCAAACACCGAGTCAGCGACGTTCTCCTCTGCTACGACGAAATCAACGGGAAGTGAGCTCAAGGGCATCGCAAACAACTCCCAGCTGGTCCATGTGCCATTCCTAATCGGCTGGTTGAGCCTGGTGAGCTTTTCCGCCATTGTCCCGACCTCGCCGACACCTTGGTTATTAACCGTGACCTACCAGCGTCGGAGCGGAAGACAAGAGGGATTTTCAACGGGATCGTGTTTGCCGACCGCGACAACCTCATGGACCCCCCTGCGGCAACGGGAGATGCGTCGTGACGCCCGCTGAGCCCGTGGTCTCCTGAGAAAAAGTCTCGCCATGGGGGGGCGCCAGGGCCTCCACGACCTGGTGTCATCCGTCGGCCCTAGCAAGCTCCCCGCCTTCCATAAGATCATCATCACCCACGATCAGAGCGGGCATCATAGCTCCCGTCTCTCCTCGCCAACGTGCTCATCGGCCACGGCGGGAGTATCCGGACGCTCCGGCTCGAGAATTGCAAGACCACGGTTAAGGTTATGCGAGAACTGTCCAGGCAAGACGTGCCGAGGGTCGAGGAGCGCGGGGCAACTGCTATGCGGTGCTGCTGCGCGCAATGTCCCTTATTCAATTCCTTGCCAGAGGCGCAGCGGACCTGGAGTGAAGTTTGCGCTCGACGCCTGGAGACCCTCGAGAATCACTTGATCGAATCCCCTGCATCCATTGTTAGTCTCGACAACAGCCACCGTAGCCACCGGGTTGGCTTCTGGTTGGTGCCTCACACCGAGCGATACGCAATTACCGCTTCGACAACTCACCAAAGCCGGGCGGCGCAAACATCGGAAGCCCTAGCCAGCGACCGGAAGAGAGACGGTCTGCTGGACCAGGGTCAAGCCGTGCATCAACTATGGTCGATCTTAACAACCACATCAACAGTAACGACTACAACAACGTGTGCAAGTTCTGGCGTTTCCATTCCTCGCCATCGAGTTCAAATGCACTGGTCCCTCTGGGAGCAATCTCTGGGTGGCAGAAAATCAATGCCTCGGGGCATCTGCATCCTGTGTCAACATTGCTGAACGTCTCAGTCGCCAGTTGGCCAGCATCGACCACGAGAAACACTTGGGTGCATCAGCCAGCGAGACCTCTCCGTGGCTCTCGAGATTGACGATCCACCCCACCACGTACACGTTCTGGCCCGAAAAGCAGGCGTTGCCCAAGCCTTTTTGGACATTCCTGCAGGTCACGTACGTACAGGACGTGTATTTCGGCGGCCCACACGTCGCTGGGAAACGATTGCCCGCAGAACACGCGGACATAGTTTCCCGAGGCTGGGCTTGGTTCGAGAAGGACTTTATGGACTTGCAAATCTGCGACAGGTGGGATGCGCCGTGGGAGCCCATCAGCGTGCTGGGCTTTGGAAGGCAATCCTCTGGGCATGCTTTGGATACGAAGCGCAGCAAGAGCTGCGCTCCGGTTTGCGCCACGCAATCTATGGCATCTCGCATGGGCAGCTCTCGGATGGCTGTTCGATCAGCTATATGCACGGGGCGTCTGATAAGGGTACATGGGACTGTATATCAGGTCCAGCCAGAGGCCTGTTGAGCCTGGCGGGGGCTCCCGCAGCACCAGGAGGAGGAGGAGCACCCTGGTGGTCTCACCAGCCTCCTGCAACCGACAAGCTGATATCACGGCTCATTGCTTGTGGAGTCGTCCGCGGCTCCGGCTCACCATCCACAAAGAGCAATGCCTGGAACAAGGGAGACCGGCACTTCGCCGCGCATCCGCCGGCACACAGAAGCGCGGCTCTACAAGCTGTGGGTTGTGGAATGAGCAAGCAAGGTGGTGGTGCTAAGCGCCGGGAGGATGATTGGGCGCGGATTCCGTCCTCGGGGAAACCCCCAAGGTGGGCTACAGTTGGGCCGCCTCTGAGCGGCCGGCCGGCCACAAAGGCGGCGGCGGTAACAGCCCAGACAACCGCCGTCCGGCGGTAACAGCCCGGGCAATCGCCGTCCGGGGGTGGCTCATCGGCCAAGGGGCCAAGCTCAACGTCAACCGGCACCTCATTTACCGAGGAGGACTGGAATGCCCTCACGCTGGCAGGCGATCGCAGCGGTGATTTTGACCGGCACGCCAGGAAGCCGTCGCTGCCACAAAGACCTTTTCGCCAGCGGTGACTTTCGGGATTTGTGCATGTTGGCAGCTTTGGTGGAGTTGGTATAGATCCAAGAATGGAGCCGTAACCATAACAGCCAGCCGCTGGGTCTCTTGAGCCGAGCCAGTTCAACTCCCACAACAGTACGAACACAGTTAGTTAGGCTTTCCCGGAGATATCATTCCAGCACACCGCACAGCCAAGCATCATCTATACACGCCACAATGTTCCTCCCCATTACTTTCTGCCTTTTCGGCGTAGGGGCCATCTCATATGTGCTATTCGGCTTCATTTCTCGCGGCTCCGACCAAGATGGCCACTACGACCACTCAAACAAGACAACAGACCCGAGAGTCGTGCGGCGGCAGCCGCGGTGGACAGCATACGTGGAACTGGAGGAGGTCAAGGGGTGGCTCTGGGAGAAGGCATTTCCATTGACGCGGCCGACACAGCACAGACTCCAGCAAAGGCCCCTGCCCGGACTGGTCGTGCTGAGATTTGTGGTGGAGATGATGGAGATTTCGGACACCGTGACAGGCTGTTTCCATGGTGCATGTTTTGTACTAAGCCATATCATATATCTACACCTGCGACCCGGTGCCGGGTCGCAGGCGCAGGGTTTTCCTCCCTAGGCACAACCCAAGGGTTTTTCCCACGCAACACCTAGCAGTAGCACTGAGGTCTCTTCCATAGACAGAACAGAGTATAAATAAGTAAATATATCTACACCGAGACACAAGATGGCGGCGTATGCTCCTGTGTCATTCGATAGTTAACAATCTCCATGTGGCTTTCTGGGCACCGCGTCTACTTGCCGTGTGGCATATGTTAGGAGATCGGTCAAAGACGAATGTTGACTGTCAGAAGGGACTGATGAGGCGGAAGAGATTCCAGGTGCCACGGATACCAGATGTTGACATGGCCAGGTTCATATTTAATTTTCTGTCTGGCGAGCTGTTGCACATTGCAACCAGATGCCTCTGGAGGTCGCCCTATCCACACCCCTACTCAACCTCCTCGATAACCGGCCTCGCCGCCGTGTTCCCAGCCCCGACGTTCCGCAAGTCCAAATCAATACCCGCCAGGCGCGCGATGGGCGGGACGCCGCCGCCGCCGCCGCCGCCCTCGCCCAGCTCGGGCATCGCCATGCCCAGCCGGAAGTTCTCCAAACTCTCGACCACGTCCCGCGCGTGCTGCCTCACCAGCCCGTCGCCGTCCGTGTCGGCGACGTAGCCGAGCACGCGCACCATGTCACCCCTGCTCTCCTCGGTGAGGCCGAACCCGAGCCGCCGCCCCTCGCGCCTGGCCGCGTCCAGGGCGCGCGCAAAGGCCAGGACGAGCAGCGCGGCCGACCGGCGCAGGATGCCCTTCTCGGGCTCGGGCTCGAGCGCCAGCACCTGCAGGCACAGGTCGACGGCCGACGCCGCGAGCTCCGGGCCGACGCCGCCGACGTTGGTCTCGATGGCGTCGGCGAGTATCGACAGCGCCGACGCCCGCACGCGCACGTCCTCGGCCCCGCGCTTGCTGCCCCAGCCCTCGACGATGCGCGCCAGCACCTCGTTGTCCTCCCGCTGCCGCTCCGACAGCCCGCCGGCGGCGGCGGCGTCATCGTCGTCGGCATCGTTCTCGTCGTCAAGCTCCCCCCTCTCGGCCTTGAGCTTCCTCAGCCTCTCGTCCCGGGCCTGCTTCGCCTCCGTCTTGGGCCGGTGGCCGCGGCGGCCGGCCAGCAACAGGAGCGCCTCGCAGACGTGGCGCGCGGCGTCGCCGGCAAAGGTCTGGCCGAGGCGCTCGACGGCCTGCGCGAGGGCCTCGCCAAAGCGGAGGCGCGTGTCGACGGCCGCGAGCTCGGCCGCGTCCACGTAGCGGTCGACGAGCTCGCGCGTGACCGACTTGGGGTGCCGGTCGGCCAGCTGCGTGTACATCCTGACGACGCGCAGGTTGATGTAGTCCTCGTCCTCGGCCAGCAGCTTGGACAGGAGCACCAGCACCGCCGATATGTCCAGGACGGGGCTGTTGGCCAGCACGAGGCTCTGGATGAGGTTCAGGCCCTCGGATCGCACGGGCGGCGGGGAGTCGGAGTCGGTGATGTATGACACCGCCAGCGCGTACGTCTTGCGGTCCTGAACCTGTCGGTCTGTCTGGCTGGGCCCGGAATCCTCGGGCTCGAATCCGTCTCGGTATTTGAGAAAGAGCGCGAGGTTCGCGGCCGTTGTTGAGACATCGCCGCTCCCATGCCTACTGAGCTTGCCCAGTGCCTGCTCGATCGATTCCATCAGATCCTTGTTCACAATGCTCCTGCGGAAGTTGGGTGTTGTCGCAATCATATTGAGCAAACTCAGCGCCACGGATATGACTTCATCGTCCTGCTGCTCGCCATCCGGCTGAGTGAGGATCTCGTCGACGAGTTTAAGAATGTGGCCTGGTTGGCTGGCCAGCCTCTCGGGAAATTTTAGCATCATGGCTTGGAGCACCTGATTCTCCAGCAACAGATGTTTAGGGTCCTGGCCCGTATCGGCCTCGCCTTTGGTTTGCAAGAAGGAAGTCTCCTTTTGTCCTCCGGGCTTGACCCATCGGCCGAACAGATCCAAAAATATCGTAGATATTTCTTCATCTGTGAAGACGGAGCCGAGCAATGTCAAGAGCCTCTGGCCTCGCTGTTCAGCTTGGGGCAGGTTGATCTCCTCGGCAGCTAGAAGGAACGCTTGCTGCCGCGGAGGCACAACAATCTGCATCTTCCTTTCAGGCAGCTCTTCGAACGCCCATATCAGTCTCTCGCTATTCCGCTCCCCGTTGTAAAGAAGGTTGTGGATGATAGTATAGACTGGACCCAGGGAGCCAGCGACTTTCAGGTAAATGGTCAGCAGGTTTTGTGCCGGGCGGAAGTAGTCGTCCTCTTCAGACTCTTTTGTCTGAGGGTTTCCCCTCCAAGTAAGAGACCACAGGGGAAGGAGAACGGGGCTTATCAGGCGCCGTGCCAGGCCGGGGTTGGGGTGCGACACGACCAAGTGGTGAAGCCGACGGAGACCGGTGGCTAAATCAGCCGGCGAAACGAGGACTGAGGGCTTGCTGAGGTCGACAACCTCGTCCGAGCCTGCCGGGTCCAGAGAATCTACCTCTTGCGGGCCAGGCTTGATAGCCTTGAGCATCGGTTCGACGAAACTGCGCCAGCCAGCAGTGCCTAAATTGTTGGATTATTATCATCAGCCGGAGCTTCCCAGAGCAGTCTCGGCGCATAGCAGGTGTCGGGGAAAGTATTACCAGGGGCGCCAAACTGCCTACGGCCCAAGATGCCAAACCCAACGACATAGGCCGCCACCTTAGTCAGCTCCAGGCCGTGGTCGCCGTCGAGGATCTCCATCAGCTGTGGGGAGATGCCGGCGAACCACTCGTCGGCCGACACGGAGGCGGGCGGCGTGGACAGGAGGCGCGAGGCCATGGCCATGGCCTCCTGAGTGATGGTGGCGTTGCGACGCTTCTGCTGCTCGCCGGGCTTGGACGGCCGCGGCCCCCCCGGCGCCGAGGCTGCCTGCGCGGCGCCGCCCGGGACGGTGGTGGGATGGACGGCAAAGACGAACTCCAGCGTCGCGCGCACGCCGTAGCGGCGGAGCGGCACCGTGGCCAGCAGGCGCACGAACTCGGTGCGCAGCCATGGCGGGACCTTGTTGGGCTGGATCAGGGTGTTGAGGGCCGGGATTATGGGCACGGTTCCGGCTCTTTTGGGTTTGGTGGGTTCGAGTTCAGAACAGAGTCAGAAGATGGACTTTATTAAATCTCTTGGAGCGACAGCTGCCGTCGAGGCTGCCGTCTTTCACCTACTTCTGGACATAGTCGTCAAACTCTTGGCGAGCTGGCTCTCTCGAATCCCTAGGGAGGCTCGGGTCAAAGGCTTTTGTGCCCAAGTCAACGAGCCTCTCCAGTAGCTCGTCGTAGGACGATTGCTGAGGGCCCGTCGAGGCCATTTTTGTTCAGCTGTAGTTGAAGCTTGGACATGAAGTTGTGCATGTTCAGAGGTGAGCTGAAATTCAACTCGGCCTAGGTCAAAGTCAAGCACATTTACCATTAGACACCACGATTGAGGCCTGAGAAATCATTTAGGTGCTGTAGAAGCTGCTGGAAGCCCCTGTATGTGCTGTCGAGTAGCGGTAGGTGGGTCTAATATCAATGTGGGGCCGTGCGCGTGACACCGCGAGAACACACGTCTTAGCTAATCCCAGCCAGGCGCGTCGTCCCATCTCCGTGCCATAAAAGTCCCGCGTCCCCCCCGCGAAGGCCTAAACCTTCCTCCATCCCACCCATTGCTGAGCAACGCCCGGCCTGGGAATCAGGTCTCACAATGCCCAGCACCCACGTCTTTCTCTAGTCCCTTCCTAACCCACGCCTCACCCAGAAAGCAAAGTCAAGCCGTCGAGCAGGGCTGCTCCCAGACAGCCACCGCGAATCCGCAGTGCCAACGAAGACCGTGTGAAGACCCGGACCCGGCCACAGATATTGCTCTCTCGCCCGCTCGACCGAGTCTCAGCACTCTGTTGTAGCTGTGCCCCCCTCATTTGCGCCACGCCTCCCCTACAGTCATCCGTCTCCGCGTTGTGGCCGTCTCGGCGGACATGTGCTTCGTGCCCTCCCCGCCCGGGCTCGGCAAACCTGCCACGGCAAACCGTCGCATCTTCGCTCCCGTATCGGGTACCGTGCAATGATCGCCGCGTGTGGTTTCTTTTTGCTTTGCCGTGGCACTCGCCTTCGCGCGACCGGCCCGAGCGGGGGGAACAGGATTCGGAACTTAACCCTAAGTTTGATCGTGGAAATCATCTCCAAAAAGGTTTGCGTCTCGCGGGTCCGCTCGCCCCCCCTTTTATGCCCGAGTCTCGTTTCATGCGACTGCTCTTATGTGCTCTCTGGCCTGCTGCCCTCACGGGCGGCGGGTAGGAAAGTGCGGGGGCTGAGCGTGGCGAGCGAGGTGCGGACCGGCCTCGGGGGCGGCATCCAGGCACCCCCTCCCGTTCCGCCCGCGGGGGGACAAGGTGGGCAATCGGCAAGGCTAGAGTCTGTTCGGTAAGACCCTCTGGCCTGAGGGCGCTCTTCAGCCTTGTCACCTGGAACCAGTCACTCCGGTCATTCTGGATCTCGGAGGATGCTGGGAGACACTTTGAGCATTTGGTTGGGGAGATGTCACGAGGGGCCAACCCCCACGGACATGACGCCGAGCTTCCCTCCGAGGAAGCCCGTCGTCCTGCGGCGACAGAGGGAGGGCGCAATGATGGCTCACCACGATCAGCTTCGCCGCCTTCACTTCTGTCCTCGATTCACCTCGCCGGAATCGCTCGAGCCGACTTCTGTCGCTCTTGTGAGCGGGGATCTATGGGCCATATACGGAAGCCGGTGAAGCTGATTATTCCTGCCTCGTTGTCACGCCCTCTGCACCCTCTTCGCCCAGTCATGTCACCCTCTTACGGCCTTCCTCGTGGCATCCAACCCTTTCCAAGCTCCGCTCCCCGGCTCCCGAGACGTATCGTCTTCTCGATGCGCCATGCCCAGCATGGGGTCCCGGCCAGACGCATTAATCACCCGCTGTGGGCTCCGGTCCCACGGCGGACAGAACGCCACAACCACAGCCTCCTTCCCTTCCCTTCGGAAGGGCAACGAGTGTTCTGTTTGTCCGCCTCTGCCGTGTTCCTTTTTTTCGACGCGCGGCTGGAAACGGCCGCCGACGAATTGAGACCAGAAGCAAGCGGATTTTTCCGGGGACTTTTTGTGGATGTATTTCACCCCCGTCCGGTCTCGCGAGGCGCCCTGCGTCTCGCTTGTTCGTGGACCCAAACGAAAAACTAGTCCCTGTTGGCAGCGCCTTTTTTTCAAAAGCAACACGGAGAGAGCATAACTGTGGTTCGGGTTCCTGTCTTCCACGACTTCGGCGCTGCGGGCGGAGCTCTTCGGCCACGGCCGCGCTACCGCTGGTGCTTGGAGCGCATATTGTGGGCGGTTTGGCAGCACCCGGAGATCTACGGCGGGTGCAGGCGTAAGGCTCTGCCAGTGTTGACCAAGGCGCTTTGCAGCAATACGAAAACCCAGCCAGAAATCAGCCACCATCGAGACGCCCCCACACCTTGGATGAACTGTCCGTTGACCGGATGCGCTCTCTCGTGGTTCCGGGACCCATCTAGAGTTGGAGTCAAAGCTTCGCGCTTGTCCGGAACCCGCTGACGGGACATGGCGGCCGTTCGTCCAGGGCCAGGGGAAACGCTCGAGCGGCTTGGGCAGCTGGCAGGAAGACATGGGCGCGCTAGTGGCATGGCGGCCCAGGTTGCCCTCCCTTCAGCAATGACGGGAGGGCAACCCCCCTGTTTCGTGGGGATAAGTGGCAACCCCCCTACTCCGTCGACTTTGCACATGGTCTTGATTATGCTAACTGCTCGGTTTCTGGGGGTAGGTGTCGCTTGGTGGAGAGGCGGATGGTTCACCCCCAACTACGCAGTCGAGGCTTGCGCCAGTGGTCACGTAGATAATCAAAACATCATGGAGCATTTGAAGCCAACTTTGACTTGGCCCCATTTCCGTGATGCCGCAAACCGCTTTGTGAATCGGCAAGTAGACAAGGGTGCATTCTGCAAGATAACGAGTGGAGGTAAATTTTCGAGGGCTGCTGGCTACCTAGGGCTTGTTATCACTGTCACTGCCTTCTGAATAATCGCTCAATCCGAGCTCTGCCTGCGCGGCGTCGGCCAATTTTTGCTCCTTGGCGGCCTTGCGAGAGATCTTGCTGGCGGCCCGCAGCCCGGCCCAGGCCTGTCGCTTCTCCTTGTTCAGCTTTGCCGCCACCCTGCCCGCCTCCCTCCTCGCCGCCGCATCCTCGTTCCGGAGCCTGGCCCTGTCCCTCTTGGTCAACGGCCGCGGCGCCGCCTCCTCGCCTGGGCCCTCGCCGTCGCCGTCGCCGTCTTCGGCCTGGGAGGTCCCGGCTTCTTGCGCCTTCTGCTCGCGCACCTTGCTCATCTGCGCCTCCATGGCCTCGGCCCTGCGCGCCTCCTTGCGCGCCTTCTTGGCCGCCCGCTTGGCCGCCGCCGCCGCCCTCCTTATGGCCTTTGGGGTCATTTCCTGGGTGGCGGCTTGGCTCTCGTTCGGCATGGTTTCGGTCTCTTCCCACGTGTCTTCCGTCTCCTCCGGCATGGCTTCCATCTCTTCCGACTCGGCGGCGGCCTCGCTCTCCACGGCCAGGTCGACGGCGACTTGGGGCACCGGCCGCCCCGCCGTCCTCTCCAGCAACTTGGCCATGCCGGCCGTCTCCCGCATCGACTGCAGGTTCCGCTCCCTGCCCGCATCGTGCTCCTCGCGCCGCCCCGCCCGCTCCAGCGCCCTGGTCAGGTGCAGCATGGCGCCCGACGCGCGCGAGATGGCCATGGCCGCCTCCTTGACCGCCATCACGGCCTCCCCGATCGCGGTCGCCGCCTCGGGCGTGACCCCCGCCGGTGCTGCTGCTGCTGTTGATGCTGATGCTGCTGCTGCTGCTGCTGCTGCTCTGTTCTCCCATCCCCTCTCGGTATCCCCGGCGTGGAGGGGCCGCCGCAGCCGCAGCCCCAGCCGCCCCTGCACCTCGCCGCCCTGGGACAGGCGGCCCCGGACGACCCCGACGTCGTCCTGGACGAGGATGCGGCTCGGGATGGCGGCCTCGCCCGGCGCGCCGTCCCGGAGCCGCCGCCTGCGCAGGTGCGAGAGGCTGTCTTTGGGCGACCGCTTGCCCCCGCCGGCCGCCGCGGCGGTGCTGGCGAATGTGCGGGCGCCGCCGGCGTTGCGCATGCAAGCCGTCAATGCTGGGTGGTTTTTTTTTGGGTTTTTTTTTCGTCAGTGGAGAACTCCCAATGGCGAATCGGGCACGTGGTTTGCTGCCACCCAGGGGGTGGCCGGCAGCATTCATCAAGAATATGCCCTTACATATACGAGGGGCGGCGGCATGGTTGAGCAAAGGCAGGGCCCTATGCCTTATGTGCGCCATTTCGACAGGCTTGCTCCGTGTGAGCTACTTTCGCCGATGTTGGCGTTTACTTGGTGAAGTTGTCGACGCGCAAACTTCAATGGCTGGCTGTGCGACAAATATTGGAGCTGCTTGATTGAGGACAGTGTCTTCTGTGATACAACCACTGTGCTTTTCATTAATGTGGTGTGCAGATTTGTGAGAGGCACAGTGCGTAAAATAATTGGGCGAAAAAATCTCGTTGTTCCGATTTCATCGTCCGTGCTTTTAGAGTTAAGTGCTATTAACGGCGACAAGTTTCGCAAACCAGACGTGTACGTTTACAATACCACCAAAGCGAAACTTGGCATGGCTACAAAACCACAAGTCACTGAAAAAGTCACCAAATCAACCAACGCCTCGTGTTCCCATGTTCAGGTGTTTTCCTCCACCATTTCCCGTCAACCGGGTTTACAGTCCTGGCTGATCCGCTCCGTTGCCGAAGAACTTTTCCCCATGCCCCAGATCCGAGTTGTAAAACCCCGCGTCAGTCTGTCATTTGTCCGGCATTGAGTTAGTGAGAATTGGCCGTACAGATAACAAGTACGGCAGAAGTCAAAAACACCATGCTGTCACTCACCATGCAGCCAAAGCAAGACGCTCCCGCGTACAGGGTCCAGCCATCGTGCGTGCAGTTGCCGCCGGCCCAGCGGTCGCAGCGCCATACGCCGCGATCGTCAGGCATGGACGGCGGGCGGGGGCACGGCTGCACGATGAGGTTACCGTCGTCCGCCACGTACATGCCCTGGGCCGCGGCGGCCCCGGAGGCCTGGTAGAACAGCCCCATCTCCTCCTCGTCGGTGACCTCCACCGGGTCGTTCCCGATGAAGAAGGAGTGCGCCCGGGGATCCGGGCAGTAGCACCACAGCTCGGTATGGACGATGAAGAGATACGTCCGGTCTGCAGGATAGAGGTACTCGTCCGCGTCGTCGACAGCAGACTGTTGCTGCTGCTGCTGCTGCTGCTGCTGCTGTTGCTGCTGCTGCTGCGACTGAGCACCCGCGGCGTCGTAGGGCGGCGGCGGGGGCTGGGCGCTGCCCGGGGCCGGGCGGGTGGGCAGATCGTAGTGGAAGATATGCCGGGCCCGGCACCGCCCGTAAAAGGGCATCAGCGGCGTGATCCTGGTCTGCCCGTTGACCGTATACCGGTAGCGCCTGTACTGCGGCTGCGGGCGCTGCCGCTGCTGCCGCTGGCCCTGGCCCTGGTCTTGGCCGGCGGAGGATGGCATGCTTGGCTGCCGTGGGTCCATTGTCTGTTGGTGCGATTGTCGGAAGCAGGTCGCCTTGCCGATAGGTTTCAGTGGGGAAAAGATACGGGGAAGGGAGCGAGAACGTGGCAATCCCGTGCTTGGTAGCGGCTTGGGATGGGAACACACAAGGTTGAAAATCGGGGAGTAAGGGATATGATGTGATGAGCTTGTCAGGTGAGACGAGCCTTGTGTTGCAGTCAGAAAAAGGGAGGAGTTCCAGAGGAAGGACAAGAGACTCTTTATAGACGCAAGCCATCCTCTTCCCACTGTGATATAGCCAACCTCTCCTACTTCTCGGCAGCCACTGAAAAAAAAAAGATATCAACCACCACCACGCACGCCGCAGCCCAAAAGTCGGATGGCACACTGATAGCGCAGGTGATGCCAAGATTGGCAAGGTACAGAGGCGATCATGCGAGCCAGAGCCCAAGAGAAGAAGCAAAGAGCCGGGGGTATCAATGGTTAGCGGCCTCGCTGGGCTAGCCGGCGCCTTGCCACTAGCTCATACGTAATCAAGGAAGTTATCCTACTGGACGTTCGCGATCTCCACATCCTGGCGGCCCTGCGTGCCCGGCTTGCTTTTCCTTGATCACCGATGATGCTGAGCCCGCCCAGGGGGGGAACGCTACGGACGCAACTTGGGCAGCCTCAGACGACCATTGGAAAGCCACCCATTATCCCCGCAAACTAGCCAAGAGGATGCTAGTGCATTCCGCCTCAGCACTTGCCGATGTGGAGCGGAACAGAAATAGCTATAACTGCCAAGAGAGAGTCGGCTAGCAATGGCTGCATGAGAGGTATTTGGGCGCTGGAGGAAGGCTCTTTACCCACCTGGGCTAGATAAAACGTGGATAGGACAGCGTACTTTTGTAGCGGGGAGATACAAGAGGACGAAAAAGCAAGAGCAAAGAGCACAAAGAGGACAGAGAGAGTGTGGAGAGGGAGCTGGCGTTTTCTTGGACCGGCGTGTCTAGGCAAAATACGCCACTAGCTAGCCTCCTACCTCTTACCTCATAGCTGTCTCAGATGCGGTATTGTAGGGGTTTTCGTAGTAGCAGCGCTCACCGCCTCTATTCAGGGAAGGCGGTGGATGTTTCCTTGTCTCTATTAGACCGGCCACGAGATTGATTCAGATGCGGCTCTGCTCATAGTGGTCGGGGATTACAAAATTTTTGGTCGTTGATGGTGATCAAACTTGAACATTATGGGGGTTGGAAGCCGGTGAGAACTAAACGGGAGCACGCACTCAAGGGGCACAGGATGACGCCAAGCGGCCATGATGACCGACCGGCCTCGGCTGTCCGCCCCCGGTTTCCGACTGCCGGGCTTGATTCAAAGGGATATGCGTGGTCCTTGTTGTGGAGACGAGCGGTTGGAAGTGTCATTGAGGGCCGTCCAGCCAGCCCCTTTTTCCCCCTGCCATTGGACAGCACACCATTGACGGGCTGGAATAATTAGCTCGAGGGTTCCTCTGATCCGAGATACATAGATGCTAGTAGTCGGATGTTGTCTTCCGCCCCCGTCTCGCAACCATTATCCGTCGCACCCGCCGCTCGCCCTTGACGACTGCCAAGCGCGCCCAGGATGCTTAGGGCTGCTGGGCATGCGCACTAGCAGCTCTCGATCGGAGTGTGTTGGGCTGGTCGACGTCCACGAGGGAGAGGAGACCCATCACCCCCCCGCTTTCCTATCTGCTCCTCCTTGGTGGGCCCACCCTGGCGCAGGTGCAGACGAACTGCTGCCCAGGCGCAGGCAACAAGGCGATGTAACTGTGTACGTACGGCCAGCGCAATCGTCCAGCAGGACCGTCCCGATCGATTGGGGTTGGTTCATGCCGAGCTAGAGCCCCTGTTCTGACCGGTCACTGTGGAAAAGAGGAAGAATAACCTTGGGCTCAAAATGGCATCATGACTGCGTGTCGTTATGTTGGGTGTATGCTGCGATGCGTGGTACTTGTTCTCTTCTGACATGGATATCTCCTGTGTGACTAACGCCTCCGTTTCTTTGGGAAACAAGGCAGAGCAAGGCATGAATTTCTTCTCTTTCTGGGCACTTCACGGAGCATTCGACCCGGCCAAAAGGAAATAAACGCCCCTCCATCACGCAAGCCTCGTCACGCAGCTCCCTCCGCCACCTCCCTGAGATGACGGTGGACGCCCCCCCAGCTGGATACCTCCTGGGCTCCCATCCATACCTACTGGCAGTTTTTACGCACGAAACTAACACAGATCAGACTGCCTAGCGAGCAAGCCCCCAACTCGTGGGTGGTGTGACACGGCCCTTTCAGGACTTCCGTATGACTGCTGTTGGTGCCTGACGGCCCTGTCATCTTTTCTTTGCTTTCGTAATTTCTTTTTCTCTTCTCCGTCTCATGTTTTTAGCCTTTTTTTCTTCGTCTTTCTTTTGTTCCTTGCTTCTCCCCACGTCCACACCCACACCAACACTCGCCACCGCGCAAATCATACGGTCCAAGCTCGGCCGGCCTAGGCGAGTCGAGGCTTTCTGCATGACATGTTTGATCCGGGTAGCTGAGAGTAGGTGGCTGAGTAGAGGCAAGTAGCTGACACGCAAGGGAGGTACGCACGCGGGGTGGAGAGAAGGTGGCGAACAGAGCGTGGGCTAGCCAAACCCTCCAGGAACTTCGCATGGTGCTGGGATCTTTCCCCTCACGTCCGTAAAACAAACCTATTATTAACCGATCTCCGCTAGAGGGATGGGAACATCGCGGATCGAGACGGCCAAGGATATTAGCAGGGGGGAGGACCCGCAGCGTCAACCAACCAACCAACCAACCAACCGACCAACCAACCACCCAACCAACCACCCAACCAACCCAGCTGCTGCCAGGGCTGGAAATTCACCCCATTCACGGTACAGCATCCATCCATGGCGTGGCATGGGGGGCAGGCAGGCAGTCCCACTCACACACACCCCGGACGTACGCTTGCCTATTTGGGAATGCTGTGCATGTCCGCTCAAAGTCGACCTCGCTTCCGATTTCCTGGCCAAGGGGGGTGGGAGGGGGTGGTTTGTTCGCGCGAGCAGCAGTCCGATCGTCCGTAATCATTTTGTGTAGCACCATCGGGCTCAAGGGTGCTCGCACCAGCCAAGGCAAGGAAGGGGCAGGGGATACTAAGAAAAAAAAAAAAGCAAAACTGACCAAGTTCTTCCAGTGTTGGTTGTGCAACCACACAACCACCCACCCATCCACCCCAAAATGGCAAGCGGTGGGAGGTGCATAGACAATGGATGGCGGTGTGCAGCCTCGTTTTGGGAATGATGAAGGGAGGGAGAGAGAGAAGAAGGGATCTGGGTGGGTGTGCCTGATGTCAGGTGGATGGCTGAGATCATCAAACACCCATTTCCCACCACCCATAACGTAATGGAGCACAAGATCCGGCCGCGGAATCGTGGGGGAGAAGATTTAACACCGGTGAGCAAATCTCCCGCCATGTTTGAATCAGCATTGTGGCGGATTACCAACACCCTCATGTGACTCCCATGCTCAGCCGGAACCAACACATCCCCAAAGAGCAAAAGCATGCACTCGAACGAGTTTGCTCAGCACAGTGATGGTCGTCGGAACAGGACTTGGAAATGACAAATAGGAACCAGGCAGATCTACAGGGGAAGGTTCGGTGGTAATGGGAGCCCGGTCGAGCTGTCGGAAATGCGTGCGTATTTCATCGAGCCGCCACGCTCAGGCAACGAGGTTGACCTCCATAGGCATGGGACGACAGCACCCACACACCCAAAAACAGAAACCCGCGAGCCCAGACGGCGCAATAGACCCTCCGCTCCGTCCCAGCTGTCGGCTGGAGGGAAGCGTGCCTAGCATTCCCCGGCATCGACGCTGCCAAGGAGACACCTTACGCGGAATACATCCGATATCCGTCTCCCTTCCGTTAGCGGCGGCCCAGAAAGTCCGCTTGATGAGCCCTCAGCTCGACAAGGGTCAACAATTTGCCATCAGACAACATGAAAAAACAAGCCACATCCGTCAGAGCACATGGAGGCAGGACCAATAATACATCTTGATCCTCGTCATTGTAAAGCTGAGCTATGGTATCAAATGCCGCTAGCTTCGCCGTGCTGCCCCGTTCCGGGCCTCGGCGCGTCTCGACTTGATAGGAAATGTTATCCTGCGCGTGTGGCGCTTGGGTACCTCCGCAGGAGTCAAGGTGGTCAAGGTACCTCGGGGTACAAACAGCCAGACCGCTCCAGCACCCTGCCATCGGACAGCGTCCATGAAATGCAAATTTTGCCGGCGGCAAACCCGCATGCGGCCACGCCCCCCCTTTGTCGGCCCCGTAACGGTGGGACTACAAGGAAAAAGAAGCAAAACTCTAATACTTGGAGGAGCCGCCAGCCTGGGACCGCGTGGCCTTCTTCCTCTTGATCGTCTCAGCGACGCGCTTGAGCGCCTGCTTTGCCCTGTCGTCCTCAAAGTTGGCGAGGTCGTAATAGGCCGGAGCGATATCCTGGAACATTGGCACATGAGTTAGTCCTGCGCAAGGCCAGATACAGAAATGGGCCACAGGGGTATGGGGTCGAGGTGCGTTGTCAAAGGAAAGAAAGGGAATGACGTAGAAAATCGCTCACCAAAAGCCACTCGGGTTTGATCCAAGTCACTGTTCGGATGTACTGCTTGGAGGTGAGCACAAATTCGTGGTACAGGACCCAGTCGTACTCGGTGGTCAGGACGGTGCTGGGATGCAACATCACGATCTGGTTATCCTTGATGGTGTGGTAGATCTTGCCGCTTGAGGACTCGCGAAGTGCAACCTGCATGAAGAAGCCCGCAACCAGGCACTTGCGGATGTTGGTGTAGTAGTTCTTGTCCGAGAAGGACGTGCTCACGAGCTCGAGTTCCTGGCGCTCCATGATCCCCTTGAGCTGCGCCCGCACGTTGTCGGCGCTGCTCAGGTGCCGGAGCGAGAGGAAATGCTCGCGGCACCACTTCTTCATGTCAGTCCCTTTGCTCATCTCGCCCTTGAAAGCATGGTACGCGTTGAGCAGTGTCAGGTGATCTCCCTCATCATGCTTGAAATGCTCCTTCATCTCGTCTGCCCTCTTGCGATTGCTGGTCGGCCTCATGAAAACCTGTGGCACCGACAGCAGCGACGTTATGGAGAGCATCTCGTTGGAGCAGAAGAACTCGGGTGACGACACCAACATCACGGCTAGGGCAGGATCTAGCGGGTACTCTGAGGCCATGTGGCCGAGCGATGTCAGGTCTCCATCGTCGTTCAGACATGCCAGGTAATTCAGCTCCTCGAGAGCCCTCATCATGGTCTCGGGCGCTGGCGGATCCATAAAGTCAAAATGGACCAGATCGTCCACGCCGAGCTTTTTGAGCTCTAGAATCGTGTTGCTAAGGTTAGACCGAAGGATTTCGGGGTAGGTCTGTTCGATGAGCTCCTTTTTGTAGGCCGCCTCCGTGTACAGCCTGAAGCACTTTCCTGGCTGCGTACGACCGGCACGACCAGCTCGCTGCTGCGCCGACGCTCTCGAGATGGGAGTGACAAGGAGCGACTCGACGCGGATGCGCGCGTTGTAAATCTTTTGCTTGCTGAAACCAGGGTCCACGACATAGACGATACCGTCGATGGTCAAACTGGTCTCCGCAATGTTTGTCGCCACAATGCACTTCCGTCCGGGAGCTCCGCCCTTACGGAGCGGCGGCGGAGCGTCGTCGAAGATCCTCTGCTGCTGGTTCGGAGGGAGCGTTCCGTATAGAGGATAGACCGTCATGGGCCCGCAGCCGGCGTCCCTGATCAGCTCGTCCACCTCTAGGCGCACCTTGCGACAGACGTCCTCGATCTCCTCCTCGCCTGTCAAGAACAGCAGGATATCACCCTTGCCCTCCGTCGCGTGGATCTGCAGGACGGTCCGTACCGACGCCTCGATGTAGTCACGCTCGGCCTCGGCCGTGTAGAAGATCTCGACAGGGTGCGTTCGGCCGGGCACGGCCAGAATGGGCGCATCGTAAAAGTACCGCTGGAACTTGGCGGCGTCAAGGGTGGCCGACATGATGATGATCTTGATGTCCTTGCGCCGCTGGGACAGCTGCTTTAGCAGTGCCATCAGAATATCTGTTGCAAGCGTTCTCTCGTGGGCTTCATCGATAATGATGCAGCTGTAGCGGGACATGTCTGGGTCGTGGATGGTCTCGCGAAGCAGCTGTCCATCCGTCATGTACTTCAGGATGGTGTTGGGGCCCGTCCTGTTCTCGAAACGAATGCTGTAGCCGACCTCCTGGCCGAGCTCGACGTCCAGCTCGTCTGCGACACGTTGCGCGACCGACGTGGCGGCGACACGGCGGGGCTGCGTGCATGCCACCATCTTATTGTTGAGCTGGGGGAGCTCGTCGTACAGCACGTACTGCGGGATCTGCGTCGTCTTTCCAGAACCCGTCTCACCGACGAACACCATGATCTGGGTGCTGTGGTAAACATCGAGGAACTCCTGGCGGTGCTGCTGGACGGGCAGGTCGCGGCGCGTCCTGAGGATCTTGAAGTATCTCTCGCTGTGTTCGCCGCCCGTGAAGGCGTTGCGATCGGCTTCCTCGAGCTTCACAGCCTGTTCGGCCGTCGTCGCGTGGCGCTTCAGGCCAGCAACGAGGGACGCGGGCGAGTTGGCCCCATTGCGGTCGTTTTCGTACATGTGTGCTAGGTAGGGATTGTAGCTGTCGGCCTTGGATGGCGGCGCAGAGTCGGAGCCCTTGAAGCGCTTCTGGGTGGGGGATCCGGGGGATTCGTCGGCGCTGGGACGTTTGGATCCCTTGAAAACACCTGACTCGTTCTTGTCAGCCATCACAAGAGCAGGCGCCACAGACAGCGGCGGCGCGGGGTTAAAAGGAAGCGATTCTCGGTCAAGAGTCTTTGTCGCACTAGCGGGTCGGGTCGGTGTCTTTCTGCTGGGAAGCGCGCAGCAAACACGGCACAAAGCAAAAAGTTTTGACCGCCCAGGAGAGCAGCCAATCAGGCACGCTGGTGATAAGATAATGCCAGGGTCCGATCGGCTAGGAGTCATGCGGCCGGCAGGTTGGGTGTGACCGAGTCAGCTCCGTAGCCGCCATTCAAAAGTGTTACTCGAATATGGATTTGGATGACATGATGTTGGCTCACAGCGGGCGATATTGCAATGACGGCGGGAACTGTGATAACGTGCTCATCCCAACGAAGATAAGCGCTGGTAAAATTTGGGGCAATAAATACCTTGTTAGGTACCTGACAGTTTATATATTTCTTCCATATCGACGACAGCATGTTCGGATTTGGCAAAAGCTGCCAATGCCTAACTGGTAAGGAGCGATGGTGATTGGGAGCATTTGGCTGCGGGCGGGTCCTTGAGAATCGAAAGAATCTGCGAGTGGGAATTGGAGAGAGGGGAAGAAAAAAACATAAAAAATAAAAATACACCCCGCATTATCAAGAGCACTTGGAAGAGAGCCTTGCTCGCGATAGAGAGTCCGTCGCCATCTCAAGATCGCAGCTGCTTGGTTTCTCTCGAAGCCCCGCGTTTCAAAGCAGCGTTGCGTCACCAACTCCTCATTTTTACGTGACGAGGCATTCGCCATTACCAGCCTTGAACTTCATTGATCGATTCCGCAACCTGACAACGCATGCAAGGAGCGAGAGCCCGACTCCGCCCAAGAATCCTTGTCGTTCGGACTTGCCCAGCTGGGTTTAAGCCCTGTGCGTCACTGCACCACCAAACCCCGGGCTGTACCAATTCACAACGCTCAGGCTTCCACTTCAGTCGGTTGGTTCCTGGACCACACCTCAGCACACCCACAAGATGTCAACACCCGGAGAGATGAACCCCGAATCTTATGAGTTCCAGCAGCCCATCGGCCGGCCAAATTTCGCCATCGGGCAGCACGACTCCGACAGACGGGATGTTTTGTCGGAAAAACAACATTCCCATGTCTTGTCATGTGGTGTAAGTGCCTGCGCCCAGGGCGCAAAGTAGTGAGAGCATACGCTGATAAGATCGGCCAAACCACCAGTTCAACTTCCTCACTGCGCCCATCACCAATCGCCACTTCCACCGCCGTGTCGTGGATCTGTACCACTCCCACATCAAGGAGGTCCAGGAGCATGGCCTGAGTGAAGCTGAGAAGGCGAACCCTTCGCTTCCAGGGCCCATACTGCCCACTCTAACCAACGCGGATACATCGCTGTTTCCGAGTCCGTATTCTGGAGCCCTGGTGGCCTACTCAAGTCCCTGGATCGACCTGTGTGCTGAAGATCCCGTGGTTGCCAGCCTGTCGCGTCAAGCCCTCAACCTCGAGGTTGCATACGCAAACTTCTGCGGCGCTCGCAGCGTCATTGTTCCTGGCCCCCGGATCGATGCCGATTCCAGGGGCGTTGCCCAGTATGCCCGCGCCATTCAGGAAGCCTTCATCGTCGGCGTGAGGGTCAACCTGATCATCCACTTGCCCATGTATCGGGAACCGGGCCTCGAGGAGAAGGAGGACCTACTCTCTACCACCGTGAATGGAACTGCTAGCAAGCCCCTGTCTATCGAAGCTGCCGAGATAGATCTGTTTGGTGTTTGGGGCACTTGGCACACCATCAGAACTGTGAACGAGTACACAGCGAGGCTGTTTGTTGGTACGGCGCGCACCTCCTTTCCTTGTATACATGGAACCACGGCATAATATGCATTGGTATCAGGAACAGTTCAGCTAACTCGTGGCGTATAGCTCTGAGGATTCCATGCAGACTTCCAGACAAGGACCTCCAGACTCGGTGGTTCTCTGAGCCTTTGCACTATCTGACCTTCGGCCCGACAAGCTTTCAGGAGAACAGGACGGGCAACCCCTCGTTCGGCAAGCATCACCAGGACATGATCAACATGTACATGCGGCTGAAGAACTACCCCTGGATGATTTTATATGATGTCGGCCCAACTGCAGAAGAGATTACGAAGCTCACAGCCGACGAGTTCCCAAGTCTCGCGGAAGCGCACAATGGCATGAGCAGCCGCACATCCAGGCCAGAACGCAACCCCCAGGTCGCATATCTACAACATTTGGAGCGCCAGCAGCCTCCGTACTCGACACTGGAGACTCCTGCGCTCGTCAGCTTCCAGGACTGGTTGCAGTCACCACTGCAGCCATTGTCGGACAACCTCGAGTCGTCTACGTACGAGATGTTCGAGGGAGATCCCGTCAAATACGACCAATACGAGAAGGCCATCGCCAAGGCCATGGCCGAGTGGAAGATGCTCAACAAGCCAACCTCGTCTAGCGACGGCGCGCTCGTCGTCGCGGTTGCGGGCGCCGGGCGCGGGCCCCTCGTCACGCGCGTGCTGCGCGCCAGCGCCACCACGGGCTTCCCCGTGCAGCTGTGGGCCGTCGAGAAGAACCAGAACGCATATGTGTACCTGCTGCGCCAGAACGAGCGCGAGTGGGGCGGCCGCGTACGCGTCGTCAAGACGGACATGCGGGAGTGGGACGGCCCCGTGCTGCCAGGCGATGCCGGCGCAGTGGCCCCCGGCACCACGGCGCCGGCGGTCGACATACTCGTCACGGAGCTTCTGGGGTCGTTCGGCGACAACGAGCTCTCGCCCGAGTGCCTGGACGGCATCCAGCGCCACCTGGCGCGCCCGCACGGCATCTCCATCCCGCACTCGTACACGGCGCACCTGTCGCCCGCCGCGCACCCGCGCATCCACGCCGACCTGGCCAACCGCCACGCCACGGGCTCGGCCGGCGGGCCCGACGCGCACGTCTTCGAGACGCCCTGGGTCGTGCGGCTCTTCGCCATGGACTTCCTCGCCGCTAAGGGCGTGCCCGGTAAGCCACGGATCCAGGAGGCCTGGGAGTTCGTCCACCCGGTCCGCCTGCCCTTCGCCGAGCGCTGGGCGGCACAGCACGGGCCCCACAGGAGGGTCAACCGCGCCGGCGGCGGCAGCATGAACCTCGCCGCGGGGCTCAACGAGCACAATGCGCGCCATTGTCACCTCACCTTTGTGTGCGGGCGCAGGGGCGCGGTCCATGGCCTGGCGGGGTACTTTGAGTCGACGCTGTACGCGTCGCAGGTGCCCGGCAAGGAGAAGGACCTGGTCGAGATCAGCATCCACCCGGAGCGTATCGATCAGAAGAGCAAGGATATGATCTCGTGGTTCCCCATCTTCTTTCCTCTCAAGGTATGTCTTCGTCTGCCCTGCCTGCAATGTTTGATGCTATAGACACTGACGCCATTTGTCGTTCCTGTTACACAGCAACCGCTTTATTTCCCCGAAGACGCCGAGCTCGAGGTCAGCATGTGGCGGCAGACGGACGACACCAAAGTGTGGTACGAGTGGATGGTCGAGGCCTTCATCTGGGTTAGCCCAACGCAGCGCCTCAAGGTCGGCGCCTCGGAGATGCATAGCAGTCGCAAGGTCGCTTGCTTGATGTAGGGAATGGGTTAGTGTGCTTGCCAAAGGGAAGGAAAAGTCTGGAGTTTGGTCATTGGTTGGATTGGTAGGCTCTAGTGGGAGGGCTTTGAAGGATTTTGATTCTTCTACTTGGCAGCAATCCCAGTAGTAGTCCAAGATAGCGGCTTTTCCCGCTCTCAAAAGGATTTCTCCATTTATTCAAGAGGACCTCGGCCTGACCTCGAGGAAAATTAGGCGAATCGCAAATTCCCATATGAAAACGCCATCTACCCAATGCTCCGGTACAGTTTTAGGTATTCGCTTTTATCCTCCACTCTTGTTTCCTCCAACCATCGAGACGGGGCCTCCCGCGAGCTGTCCCCGCCGATGTGCTGCTCACTTGTCCCAATCAGACCCTCCTAATCATCCATGTTGGTGTCCCCGTCGGCGCCGCGAACCCATAGTACGTTGTTGCACCTGATGAGGATCTGCCCCAGGTCGCCGGCGAGCTTCTGGTCGATGTACTCCTGGGCGCCGCTGAGCTGGATGTTCATGTAGCTGTCGATGCTGACTAGCCTGCCCTTGTACTCGGTCTCGCCCCACTTTAGGCGCACGTAGACGTCCTTGTTGACCCTGTTGTTGTGGTTGTTGCTGTTAGTATCTGGTCTATTGGCTATCGAGGCCCGGCGCAATGGTCGGTCGGTGGCTGTGGGCGCCGGTGCGGGGAGGAGGGGGGGCCAAGGCGTACAGGTCTTGCAGCATCGGCCGCGGGTTGATGGGCACGAACTGTGCGCGGGCGCGGTGGGTTAGCAAAGGCATAGACTAGCACATCAGAGGGGGGCGTTGGGAGGGAAATGGCTATAGCGGGCCAGCGGCAACATACACTCATGGTGGCGACTGTGGTTTGCGGTCGCTGTGGTCGAGTTCTGTTGTGGTTGCCGCCAACTTTTGGCGTGGGACGGGGATGGGGAGGCTCAAATCAACGGTCGCTTGGACAGCCTGAACCGGCAGCTTTGCAGCGATGCGATTGACGGGCGGTCAGGCCAACAGGGCCCATTATTCCGACCCCCACCAACGGGCGCACACCAAGCTTAGGTGCGCACGTGAGCGCGTGTCGAAGCTGTTTCTGCTGTGTCGCAATTTTGACCGCGGGCCGCGTCACATCGCGTCCGGCCCCCCGCTCCACTCAGCAGACACGTGCCGCGATCCTGCCGGGACATCGACGACGACGACGACGACAACGAAGACTGTTGCGAAATACCCAACCCGTCCATGGAGAGTGAGCCGGCGCGTCAGAAAACATGGCGACCCGACGTGTGATTGAAGACTCGGACGACGACGGTAGCGACTTGAGCCCGCTTAAGAGCCCAGCCTACTCGCTTCTCACGGACGTGGCCGATCGCGACGACTACGACTACTACCTTGCCGACGATCACGCCGCGCCGGGGCCGGCGCTCCCCGACGGCGGCCCCAGCGGCGCGCAGCAGGCCTCCAGGAGCGGCTCGACGGACCCGGCCTTCTTCGAGCGGGTCTACCAGGAGCAGAGCAGGACCGTGGAGCCCCTGGGCCGCGCGACCATCCCGCAGACCGCCGCCGCGCCTTCAAACGACGCCAGCTCCGGGGGCCGGCAGTCCGAGACGAGGTCGTCCATCACGGATCCCACCTCCAAGGGCGGCAGACGCCGCACCTCGGGCGGCGCGGCCGCTGTCGCCGACTTGACGCAGGTGACCACGCCCGGCCGACCGTCCCGCAAGGCGGCGGCGGCCGCCGACGCCGCCGCCGCCGCCGTGTGGGACGTGCCGAGCAGCCCGGCCACAGCGGGCAAAGGGTCGTCGTCCAAAGCCGCCACGACATACGGGAAACGCAAGCGCGCGCTCGCCTCGGCCGGGTTCGCGACGCTGGAGGCGGGGCCGGCCGAGGTCGCGTCGTCGTCGCTGTCGTCGCCCGTGGCGAAGCGGCCGCGCGCCGCGGCGCAGGCCAGCCCGCGGTCGCCGGGCGCCCAGCTCGCGGACGAGATAGGTCTGGGCGGCGGCAACATCCAGGTGGCGGGCGGAGCGGGCGACGACGTGGACCTGGTCGTCATCCCGAGGAGTGGGGACCGCGTCCAGCCGTCGGGCGCGGGGTCCGACGCGACGTCCGCGCCGGGCCAGACGCAGATCCGCGAGACACAGAACGCGACTATCGAGGTCACGCTGCCGCAAACGCTCAGTTCTAGCCAGAAGCAGGCTTACAAGGTCTTCACCTTGTCGTCGGAGCCAAGCCCTGAGGATGACGGCTCGTCGCTCCCGAACCGTATCGACTACTCTGACCACAGGTCAAGCGGCATCACTGTCGCCGTCTCGACTCCTAGTCACTTTGCCTCGTCTCGCAAGGTGGACAGCAGTCACCTCCCTTCAACGGCCGAGGTCCCGCCACCACCGTCCACAATTAAAAAGGGTAGAAAGAGAAAATCAAATCCAGCAGTAAGTGTGACCGAATGTTTGGCTTGTGAGCTTCCCATATCTGACACTCATCTCTACAGCCCACGTCTTCTCCAGACATTTTCGCAGAAGACGATGCAAGATCCTCTAAAAAGGCAAAGAAATTTGTTTACTACGACGACTCTTGGGAGCCCAAGGGGGCACGGGAAGATGCCGCAGAATACAAACAACGATCCAGCCGAACCAGACCGACGGCAGCTGCAGAGGGCCTGCCCGATACTCAGCTGCCAGGGGCGCTGCCAGACACTCAACCATTTGGGACTTTGCCAGATACACAGCCTCCGGGCGTCTTGCATGCAAGAGAGATGCCCGGAGGACTACCAGACACTCAGCCGCCACCACCGCCCCTACCACCACAGGGATTCGCCAATCAAACAACCGAACAGAATCGGCCTCAAGATGAGCTCACACTGGACCCGCCAGACCGCAGCCGAGGACAGGGCGCAGATCCCATCTTGATAATGTCGTCAGATCAAGAAGCCGGGCCGAGCCGCGTGCCGGAAAAGCAGGCAAAGCCTCAGAAGAAAAGGGGCCGCAAGAAGAAAGGGGTGGCTAAACCCTCCGAGCCGGCGGCGACTCCCGCGGAGCTTGCAGCGGGCGATGACGTCATCAACGCCCTTTCTGCGATGCAACAAACAGATGCACCAGCGGAGATTTACGCAAAGACGGATGCAGCCCTTGTACCTGCACTCGAAATCCCGGTGCCGGAAGCACCCCCAAAGAAGAAAAGGGGAAGGCCTAAGGCAGACACTACCACGCAGGAAGTCGATCAAACGGTCGTGGCTGAAGCAGAGGCACCATTAAAGAAGAAGAGAGGGAGGCCCAAAAAATCGGCCGCCAAAGTCACAGAGCCCACTGGGAAGGAGGAGGGAGCCACGGCAGCCAAGCAAAGTGGTCATGCGACAGCGCCGTCCCCACCAACAGGCGCGGGCGACCCCGCCGCGACGAGAGCGCTGTCGCAGGTGAGCGACGGCAACTCCCAAAAAAAGACATGCCGAGCTTCCGTGGAGTCCCCAGAGGGCGCCAACGTCACCAGTGGCAGCCGCGGAGCCAGCACAGACCCGGCCGAGAAGGGAAAGGAGAACGGCGATCTCGATGGTGGCTCGAAAAACGTGTCAAGGGAGGCAACAGCAGCACCACCAGTCGCGAAGCCGGCGGGCGCCACCAACGGCTGCAGCCCGGCAGGCCCGGCTGGAAAGGTGAGTTATCGGGTGGGACTGAGCAGGAGATCCCGGATCGCTCCTTTGCTCAAGTCATTGCGCAAATAAAGGATGGGTTCGTTGCTGTGGGCGACCGATAGGCTCTCGGTTTTTTTGTTTTTGTTTTGCATTTCCTGGGCGGTTTCCTTGTTGGGTTGTTTTGGTGTCACTCCCCCTGGTCGGACAGGCGTAAGTGGCTGCTCATGTCTGATGAAGTAGTGGAGGGGTGGCGCTGGGCTTGAGGAGAAGGCAACAGCCCAAAGCCAGCCCCGATGGGCTGTTTTGTTTGTCTTGGCTTGTTTTTAGTTTTGTTCCTATCATGAACTGTACACAATACCACATTCCGTCGATGGCACCACGGAACCTAGCTTCTCATGCAGCTTGCCTTGCCCGCGCCACGCCACGCTCCTCCTCGCCCGTCTGTGCTCCTCGGGCAGCCGAACCACTTACGTACTGACAAAAAAAACCGCATCACCCATCATCCGTGGCACCCCTTGCTCCACCTGCATTTTCGATCCACCGAAAGCCAGCTGTGATGTGGGCGGGAAGGGCTGCCGAGACCCGGGGTTGGGAGCAGGAGCACAGGGAGAGAGGGAAGCGAGCGGTCAGGGCGTGGGTGGCAGGCGGGCAGGTGGGTGGGCGGTCAGCGACGAATGGGCAGCCTTCCCTTTGTGGTCCTGCCCGCCAAGAATGCCGTTGGGGTCGCCTGCTCGCCGCCAAGACCACGAATTGCATCACCACCCTCCCCTCGGGCTGCTCTTTCTTTCCCTTTCCCTTGACCACCTGCCCCTGGGCTGCTATTGCTTTCTTTTTTTTTTTTACTCTTCTTCCGCCCGATCTCTTCGCCTTTGAGAGCCTGCAACTTCCACATAAGGCCTAGTGCGGGGCACGCATATCTTTTCAATCTCTCACAAGACCCCACGCTTTCTTTTGCTTGGGCGGAAGGTGGTAGGTGGGTGCCTGGGTGGTGGTGCCTCTCGTAGATTTTTTTTTGGTGGAAAAAAAAAAAGGCACGGCAACGACAGTAGTAGCAGCGCTAGCGTGAGCGGAACGTGGCTTCCTGCCAGCTTGCTTTTTTTTTCTCTCGTCTTCTTCCCTGTCCTTCCTCAGCTTCTCCGCTGCCGTGGCACCGGTAAGTAGCCCGGCGGGCACGATGGACCTGCGCCTTCTAAATTAGGAATCCGGCTGCCCCAGTCGTTGGGGGGAAGCACGAGGGCGGGTTCTTCCCCGAGGACAGGCTCCATCATCCCTTAGCTTCGATCTACCTGTGCTGGGTTCCAGTCTGCCAGCCTTCCGCCTGAGCCAAGACGCTGCTCTGGCTGTTGTGATTGCTCCACCACACGTCTCTCTCTCTCCTGTCGTCTTCTTTTGATCTTGTTTTTTTAATCGTGCATTTGTTTATTTTTTTCTCCGTCGTCCGGTCTTCCCTGTCTCTTCACGCGTTTCGTCCTCCTTGTCTTCCCGTTTTTCCTGCTTTGAACCCGATCCACTACTTCATAGATCCGCCTCACTAGTCCTCTCCAAGAAGACCTAGTTAGGTTGCCTTGTCTCACATTGCACGCCTTTGGCGAGTCGCCCTGCAGAGCTGCGTGGCAGCTTGGCAAAAGCCGCCGTATCCTACCTACCTTCACCTGGGGTGTTTTGTCATACTATTTTTTTTCGCCTCCTCTCCCAGCCGGCCGGGTCTCCATCTGTGCATACGTCCCATCTCGCCTGCTACAGCCGTGCCTCGGCTGCCCGCTAGACCTGATGGCCCGCTCAGAGCCGCATGAGGGCTTCGACCTCAACTGCCCTCTGAGGATCACTCACACGACGGCTCAACGCTACATAAGCACCCGGGGTCAAGACGATAGGGTATGTGATCTCTACTGCTTGGCAGGACCTGACTACTTCCTTTCCACCTCCTCGCCCCGCATTGCGTCCCGATCTGTCTTCGCTAACGCCCTGGGTTCCAGCTGCTTTTTGAGAACAGCCTGTTTGATACGTTTACACCTGACGGCGGACTCTTCATACCAGAGAAGATCCCAGTCCTCACGCCCGCCGAGTGGCAAGAATGGAGTCGCTTGTGTTTCCAGGACATCGCGTTCGAGCTGCTCTCCATCTTCATCAGCCCTGCCGAGATCCCACCTGAGGATCTCCGAGGAATCGTCCGTCGCAGCTTCGGTGCCGAGGACACCGTGGTGCCACCGCTGGTGCGGCTGTCGGATGGCCTGTATCTTCTCGAGCTCTTCCACGGTCCCAAGGGTCTACCTGAGGACATGGAGTTGCGACTGCTCGGCAATCTGTTCGAGTACTTCCTAGCTAGGAAAAATGCTGGAAAGGAAGGCAAAGGTGTGTCGTCATGGCAGTCCCCCGACCCGCGAGGAGCTGGACTAAACCCATGCTCCTGACTTAGACAGACACCACATCGCCATCCTCCATCCCGCCGACGAACCTGCGATTGCGCTCGCGCTCGGTGACAGGAGAGACGTGTCTATAATCAGGCTGCAACCGGATGACGTAGACGAAGATGATGCACAGCAGATGACCCTCGCTGCCTCGAGAAAAAATATCCACACACTCGTGGTGAAGGGCTCTGAAGACGACTGCGAGGTGAGCAGATGGACCCCGCATGACCTTGGACGAGTTGGGCAGTGCGAACCGAGCAAGCGGATGGCCGGGGAGAGGGTCTCATGTTGACGATAGTCTGGTCAGGGCATCATCGACATGTTGTTCGCGATCACTAGCAGGTCGCTGGAGCCGCATCTCAACCTTGCGACGGCGTCGTCGATCAGCTGGGCGCGCACTCTATCCCAGATGGTCATCTGGATCCATGCATTCTTCGCCTTGAAGAGGGTGCTTCCATCATTTGACATGGAGGCCGACAAGGTCAGGCTCGTGTTGCCGACGCGGAGTTTCGATATCATCGCTTGCTTCCTCGTTCGACGCATGGGACTCCCCGTCGACAAGATAGTCATCGCCACGGGCGAAATAGACCCGCTCGTCTCTTTCTGGGCGACGTGCCGCTACAGGAGACAGGTGCGGCAGGGGGATCTCCCAGCGCTTCCGGACGATGCGAGCACCCAGAAGGGTGGCCAGTCACGCCAGCAGCCACCCAACTCGAGAAGGGGCGACGTCTTGGTCACAAGCAGCTTCGAGAGGCTGCTGTGGTATCTGGCGTGCGAGTTTGTCTCGATCGCACACATGGGTGACGCATGGAACATCAAGGAGGCGGGCGTCGAGGTGACCAAATGGCTGCGAGACCTCGTCGACCGCGACGCGTTTGGCCCCGTCTACCAAGACATCACGCGCATTGGGCGCAACAACTTTGTGGCGGAGCGCGTCGCCTTGCAGAAAAGCAACAGCAGCCAGCGAGGCGCGAACGCGGCGCCGGGCAAAGTCGACACGGAGAGCCTGCCAGCAGACTTTCGATGGGACGCGTGCGAGGCCACGGCCGCCGGGGTCGTGGCGTCGCAGAGATCCCTCTCACGTACCGGAATAAATGTGCCGCACATATCGCTGGCGCCCGTGGCCTATCGCAAGACGCGGAACGGAGGCTGGATTGGTGACAGGAGAATGTCGGTACCGGCAAACTGGGGCAGTTCGAAAGGAAAGGAGCCTGTCCGAAGCATTGCCAATGACTGGCAGGTTGTTCGGGCTGCCATCGCTGAGATTGTCGAGAGGGATTCGATGCGGGGTACGGAGTGACTTGTTTCCGTTTGCCCTTCTTCACACTCCTAGATGTAGACTCCTCCCATCATTTTTTATCCAAGAACGGCATACACTTCTTACACAGGGGTCATTGTACAGTATCGCTACAAGATAGAGGAACCTGCGGCGTGGAACCTAACATTAATGCATTGCAAACAGGTCGAGGGGATTGGGTCTGTTAGTTTGCTATCAATGTCAAACTGAACAGTCACTTTGTCGGGAAGTTATGACATGCATGCTTTGTGCCTGATCTAACGCACTTCATCGCTGTCAGACTCTCAAGATGGCTCATGGATCTCTGTCAAGTTGGAGGAAGCGCCATGCTTGCCTTGAGGCGTATGATATCCAGTCAGCTTTGAGCTGTGTCATGCGAGAGCACGCAGTTGTTGACTCCTCGGTCCTCGGTATGGCAGTAGCCCCTGCGCCTCAGCGAGTATAAATAAGGCCGCTGGGGTAGAGTGGCGCTCTTTCTCTTCCTTCTGCAGAGCCATCTCACAGATCTCTACACACACTTGAACGCTTCGATCTTCCTGAACACAGACTTCAACTTCACAAGCAAGAAACCAACAACTCCACACTTCACAACCAACAAACCAACAACTACACCATCATGATGCCTTCCAACGACAAGCCTCAGGGCTCGGGAAAGCCCATGACTCAAGAGCGCGCCTCCGTCATCCAGAGCAATACTGCAAGTATCACACACTCTCCCATCACTTGTGCTATTTCAAATTCTCTCTCCTTTGCGGCTAGGCAGCATCCACGTATCATCATCGGCCATGCAGCCGCCCTCCCCCCATTTGTGCCCTGACGCTAACCGCAGATTCCACTTCCTGTGCGGATAGGACAAGAAGGGAGGCGGCGGTGACGGGTTCAAGGAGCGCGCCCAGTCCGCGGCCGCCAAGAACTCGGCGGCCGGCGGCAACAACGCCCCCAAGAAGTAGCTCTCTCGCTCTCTCTCTCGCTTTCTGTCTCCCCAAGCTACGCACTGCAGCATCAGGGGTGAAACCAAGGGGGGTGTATCTCGGAAGTTCTCTTCTTCTTCTTGACGGGAACTGGGGGGGCAGTGGAATGGCAGGAGTGTCCTGACTGGTGCGGCAAAGGCTGCTCGCGACCATCATGAGAGTACAAAGCACCGTCGGACGAGCCTGAATAGGTAGTCGGAGATTAGAAATCCAACCTAGTGACTACTACTGTGTGTTCCTGTTCAACGTGCCTTTGACGCTCACTCGGTGGGGATGAGGTCACCTATGTGCTGCTATTCACCACGTTCTTGCCGCCATTGTCCGATGATAAAGGAGCAGGCGTTCTTTCCATCATTGTCCGGTGATAAAGAATCAGGCGTTCTTGCCGCCATTGCCCGGTGATAAAGGAACAGGCGCTCTTGCCGCTATTGTCCGGTGATGAAGGAACAGGATAGAAAAAAAAACATTTAAATGCAGCCCGCCTGAGCCATTTGCCCAGACCGAACAAGCAGCTCCTCACCTCTATCTGCGCCTCGTCGACCGCAATAACCAAACTCACCCATTTCCCGCACCACTTCCCAAGCAAGACCAGAGACCAAAAAAAAAAAAAGATGGCACCTCAGAACCTCTCAATGTGCCCGCCACCGCCCGAGGGCGCGCCGCCGGGCCCGTACAGGAAGGGCGACCTGATCCAGGGCGTCGCCGACCGCGGGCCCAACGGGCCCTTTTCCCTCCAGGGCAAGGTGCTCGAGGACGACGACCCGTACAGCAGCAGTCCGAGCTCGCACGTGCGCGTCAGGGTCTCCAACATATACCTAGTGCAGCCGCAGGCCGGCGGCAGATGGTACGACGTCAGCCACGAGAAGCGCGTGGCGCAGGTGCTGCGGACGCACATGATGCGCATCGAGTGGGAGGAGGTGGGCGTCGTAGGGGGCGGGCAGTTCCATCTGTGGTGATGTGATGGATGGATGGATGGATGAATGGATTGGAACAGAAGGGAGGAGAGCTGGGAGAGGGCGTGTTGTTGAAGCATGTGGGTGGGATCCATGGCTCCTGACAATATTCGCTCTTAAGTCCCGGCAATGCAAGAGCGCCGTGGGTGGCTTCCAGAGAGCATCCCAAGTCCAGTCATGAATACGTGCTCTGTTTGCCCCGACGCGGTGCAGTTCAATATGCCATCACAGCTCAGATCCAAAAATTCAAGATATTCTACCATCCTTCATTGCAACGACCACTACAAACCACTCTTCCTCCTTCAGCCATCATCGTCCATCATTGCGATATCAACTTTCAACTCCAAGAAGCAACAAGGAGACCAAAACACCACGAGCCCACGCATCACACTCGGCAGCACCAGCAAGAATTAAGCGAAAATACCACGAGCCCAGAAATCACCTCCTCGACAGGCACCTGCCAACCAATATGTCAGTTGAAATCCCCTCCGACTCGGTCCTCACGAACGTCTTCATCGACGGCTACGAGGTGATGGCCACCACGGACGCCTTGCAGTACGGAACGTTGGAAATCCAAGGCGTGATCATGAGCGACGACGGACAACAAGAGGAGCTGCAAGTCCGGGTAGTCAAGATGCGGCCGTCGGATTCCTATATGGGCGGCAATTGGAGCGACGCAAAAGGCCAAGTGACAATCAAGAGGTCGAACCTGACTGTCCGCGAGTGAGGAGGGATAAGGCACAGGCAGGGCCGGGGTGGAAGGACTTGGAGGGTTTCGAGTTTATCCTTTCACCAAGATGGGCACGCATCGACAAGGAGCAGAAGTGAACGTGCAATATACATACTAAGGGAGATTGGAGTCGGAGCAGGACAAATAAAACATTTCCGTGAGCCATGATTTCAAGCCGCAAAAGAAAGTCGACCCGACATTCTGATAGGTCCGTTTCTTGATATGCAGCCGAGGACCTCAATCCTCCCAAAGTGATGCCCGCCAAGGCGATCTCGGCTGCAGTGCTAACCCCCAAGTTGCTGGGCAATGCGTCGTTGGGGAAGCTTTGGAAAGGCTCCAGCCTATCAGAGCCAGCGAGGAGGAAACGGATGGTGTGAAGATTTGGTCCGCATGACCCAACCCCCCAAGGGGTAAGGCGCTGCAGCCAGCCCGTCCACACTTCCCCGGGGCTAAAAGTCAATGGCATGCCTGCCCCTGCACCCCTGGCACAGCTCAAGCCACCTCACTCATTAGTACATAGATAATGCAATGCCAGCTTGTCGTTCGACGTCATTGCTGACTTGCTGTCCATCTCACGGGCGGTACCTGCCATCTTTAATCGGGGCCCGTTCCGGTTGTTCGAGGGCACGTGGCGGTCGTTGCGAGGAGTCGTGCGGCTACCCCGCCTCGGCTGTCGATCGCTTGCTTGCTTGCTTGGAGTTCGTACTAGGGAAAAAAAACGGACTGCAAATGTTTTTCCCCACCCAAACTCTACCTCTCCCAACACAATTGCACCAGCACCAAAATCGAACAATATGCCCGCGCACCACTCTACACCGAAAAGAATATGCGTTCAAGGGATTTGTGATTATCTTGATGCAAAAGGCACTACTTATAGCCACAATGACGTTTTTTGCTTTGCCAGATCATAGATGCAGAGGGCAAAATGACTGCAGATTGAATGGGCTACTTTTTTTGTGGTGGTGGGGAATAAATTTTGCAGTCCGGTTTTTTTTCCGGGCATTGTGCTACCTATATATCGAACAACCGGAAACGGCGACCAGAAGACCTATTTTACCGGGACCTGAGCAGCCCCACAAGCTGAATCGCGTAGTGGGAATTATCCAACTTCCCCGACAAAACAAGCAACTAAACAGAAAGTGACGGCAAATCGTCAGCGTTGGTGGTCAATGAGATCAGCATGCCAGCCACCCTCGCACCAGAAAATGCAAAAAGGTGCGGGGAACACGCCT